ACCTCGCCGATGAGTACGGTGGCGTGATGGTGAGCTTCCCTCGCACGGGCACTCAGAGCGAAAGCGTCACCCTGAAAGGAGCCAAAGACTGTGTGGAAGCAGCCAAAAAGCGCATGCTGGAGATCGTTGACGACTTGGTTCGTAGATGCATTTGTTTCATACAAATATGTTATTTGAACCTCTCCTGTTTCCACAACAATTGATGTTGTCTTCTTTTCTCTTTTTTTTTTTCCCCAGGATGCACAAGTAACCGTTGAGTGTGTGATCACTCAGAAGTTCCACCGCTCAATCATGGGTCCAAAGGGCTCACGGATCCAGCAGATCACCAGAGATCACAATGTGCAGATCAAGTTCCCGGAGCGCGAGGACCTGCAAAGTAAAACGCCTGGTCCGTATGAAGACTTTGAAATCAGGTCCCCAAATGTCTCACATGTTCTCATCATAATTTCTCTAATTCTTTAGCAGCTGCAGCTGCAGCAGCAGCAGCAGCTGCGGCGGCGGCGGCTGCACCTCCTGCAGAGGAACCCATTCAGGTGAACGGCGAGGCCAATGAAGACGTGAAGGAGCCCGTCGATCCCAACGCGCCCAGAAAGTGTGACGTGATTGTGATATCTGGCCGCAAAGAGCGGTGCGAGGCTGCTGTGGAAGCACTGAAGGTCGGCTTTCATAATGGAGCTCCTCGTTTTTTAGGATTATTTCTCCAAATGCTTCCTTCATCCCTCCAACTGTCTCCTTTCCTCAGGCTTTGGTTCCTGTCACTATTGAGGTGGAAGTGCCTTTTGAGCTTCATCGCTACATCATCGGACAGAAAGGAAGTGGAATTCGAAAGATGATGGATGAATTTGAGGTGTGTTACAGGCGGGTATGCACAATGTGTTTTTCTTGCTTCTTGCTTCGCTTCAAACCATAATTTTGCTTTCTTTCTCCAGGTTAATATTCAAGTGCCTGCTCCTGAGCAGCAGTCTGATAAAATCTCCATCAGCGGCCTGGCCAATCACCTCGACCGCGCCAAAGAGGGCCTCTTGGATCGCGTCAAAGAGCTGCAGGCCGATCAGGAGGATCGGGTCAGTAATGTTCTGAGTGCATGGATTGTGTTCGCAGTGAGACATTTAAACCTTTTTTAAAAAATTGTGTATAGTCTGTGTAACCCAGAGTGTCGTTTACACCGACCTCTCCACAGGCACTCAGGAGCTACAAGCTGACCATCACTGTGGACCCCAAATATCACCCCAAAATCATCGGACGCAAGGGCGCCATCATAACCACCATCCGCACTGAGCACGATGTTAACATCCAGTTCCCAGACAAGACTGATGAAAACCAGGTAGCTTTTCTATCTAGTTAATTGCAAATCAAAAAAGAATGCAGGTGAATGTGCTCCATCAGCACAGCAGGTGGTGCCAAGTTCTGACCATTGGTTCATGAGAATAATTGTTAGAAATCACTCACATTATTTATGTCGTATTTATTTTATTTATTTGCCGCGGTCGTCTTCCTCCACAGGATCAGATTACGATTACAGGGTATGAGCACAAAGCCATAGCGGCACGAGACGCCATCCAGGCCATAGTGGGGGAGCTCGAGGAGATGATCTCCGAGGACATCACACTGGACAGCAGGGTCCATGCCCGCATCATCGGAGCCCGCGGGAAGGGCATCCGCAAGATCATGGACGAGTTTAAGGTGAGGCGCTGAGAGGAGGAGAGGAAATGTCCTCATCGCCGGAATACAGCATCACATCGAAAAGCCACTAATGATTTATGAGCCTTTTCTGCCTCTCAGTGCTCCACATTTTATTCTGTTTTCCTTCCTTTCACGTGGAGTTGGGTGGTTTTATTCGCCTCAAAAAGCCAGTCTGTGACGAGAAGGTGTCCATTGTCTTCAGGTGGATCTCAGGTTTCCCCAGAGGGGATCCGCAGACCCGAACCTGGGGACGGTCCCCGGTCGCCCCGAGCTTGGGGATGAACCCATTGACCACTTTCTCACCCGGGAAGAGGAATTTGTGGGCTTCCCCTGCAGGATGACGTCCAAGTAATGTTTGACGCCCCCCCCCCCCCCCCCCCTCCAGACTTGAGTACTGATCCTCTTTGTTGTGCCGCCTTTGCCAGTTGGGAGATGTTGTGGAGAACGAGTCGAAGATGCCTTACCAGAGGCCTCACGGGGGAAGTGCGTCCGCCATGGACGAACAACGCGGCCCGTCGAAAGGCTTCGTGGTGAGGGAGGCTCCCTGGACCACTGGCAATGAGAAGGTGAGCCATTTTATCACATTTTTCTTCAACTTTATTGTTTGAGATTCGAATCCAACCCTAATCCCCGATTTGCTTATTTCTCCTTGAACTTTCAGGCCCCGGACATGAGCAGCTCCGAAGATTTTCCGAGCTTTGGAGCCCCCGTGGCGGCCAAGGCCTCTCCCTGGGGGCCGAAGCGCTTCTAAGCCACGCTGCTCCAGATGGGCCTAATCGAAAACCGGACACAATCTTCCCCTCCGTTGCCTCCCCCCACCCCCCTCACCCGCCATCGACCCGGACTGACCGCTGACCCTTCGAGTCTTGAGTTCTGAGAACGTCATCCTTCTCTGTGTACTTCTCCCGCCCGTCGCTCGCACATTCATCAGTCTCAAAGTGCTTTCAGGTGCCGTAGTCGACTCGTGAGCTTTTGTATCTGCATTTAATAATGCTCTCTCTCTCTCAACGCAAAAAGAAAAAAGACGTTCAATCTATACATTGTGTACACGGCTGACTTGTAGGTGTTGATTGAACCTGACATTTCTTCGTGGTTTGAACTGTTGTACCTGATCCAGACATGAGTCTTATTAAGTTTGTTCCTTTAGCCGCCCTTCTCTTAGTTGCCTTCGCAGGTTGGGGTGAAGGGGATTGAATTGCAGCTGGTGCCAGCTGTTTAGGTAAACCCCCACCCCTCCCTCCCCCCCCGGTCTGCTTCACTCATGTAGCCGAGTCTTCACTTCGCTCTCAAGCACACTGCAGTGGTCGTCGTCTTTCCATGTGCTTGTTGACTGTGCTTCTATGAGTCGTGGCACGTACCTTTGTAGCCTTACGAATTGGTAAACTTCACAGGGAGGAGAAGGGAGGAAGAGGAGGAGAAGGGAGGAAGAGGAGGAGGAAGAGGTGTCAGCCGTCGTTCCATTCAAACTGCCAGATGCTCGGAGATATTGCCCCGAACTAAACTTCTTACAACACTATGGCCTAGAGCTCAAACGTATCAAACCTCACACTAACTGTTGAATGGAACTTTTTTTTTTTTCCTTTCTTTTTTTTTTTTTTTTTTTGACATTCAAAAGTAAATCACTATCCAAAAATCTAAATATGACCGTGTTTGTGGGCTAAAACAGCAGACCATCTCGTGCCAACTATCCGTCTACTGGTGTCCTGTGTTACTCATCCTCTGTAGTGGGTCAGTGTCCAGTCCCTTTGTCTTCCAGTTGCTATGCAGATTATTCTGTTCTATAAAGCAATGGCCCCTTTTTTTTATCAGCCTTACAGTTAGAAAGATAGCAACCAGGTAGAGGTGATGTCCAGGTGCATTTTTAATGGCCAACAGGGAAAGGTTTGTTAATTGTTCATGTGAAAGCTATTGGAAATCCCCCCCCCCCCCTGACCCCGTGACCCCCCCCCACCACCTCATCTCTCACCTCCGTTATTGTAATGACTTTAATTTGGCCTCAGGAGTTCAGGTTTATCTTGCTAGCGGATAACTGAACGCCTTGTATCAGCCTACCTTGGTTTTTATCCTTCTAGCATTGAATGAAAGATTATGCAAATACCATTGAAGTGAACGGTTATGGATGACACTGGAAGAGAAATTGTCCAAAAAGTCAATAAAAATTGAAAACCTCTGTCGACGTTTCGCTCGGATTTGTTTCGGTCAGAAACATTCATTCAGTCGGGAAATGTAGCCACATGACATGAATGCTATTGATCCAATACCACTGATACTCTGCAGTGGATTTCAGTGTTTGCCTGAGGAGAGATGACCCGTTCATAATAATAATAATAATAATAAAGTGTCAAGTTCAAGTCTCTCCCAATCTCCGTAACGGATACGAGGAGTTGAGATATCAGGGATTTCCTTCACAGGTGTAAAAAGATTAACAGATGCTTTTTCGGGCAGACTTGGATGCAAAGAGAGGCGATAATTCTAGTTGTGTATGAAGGTAAAGATGTGAAAAGTCCAGACAGATCTGACTTTAAACAGATGAAGTTTGTTTTTTATAGTTCAGTATCAAAAGCAAGAGTATTTCGCAGAAGGCCTTATTTCATTTCTGCTGATTTGACTCGTTTACGGTTATTCCTCCATGATCATCTGTTTTGTCCCACGTGGATGAATCCTGTGCCAACGATCACCAGTTTTCTGCTCAATCTCAGCTTCTATTGTGAAGATTACATGAGCTTTGGTGTATCACATCACGTCAGGCCAATCTTTATTTTGAACTCTCCTTAATTTGGACGGTGTGTCACAATAACCGTCAGTTTAACCACTTTTGTTAAAACGTTTTGGTATTGAAAATGAACTTTTTTTTTTTATTCTGAAGTGGTGCCACACATTTAATGAGCTTGTCAAGTAGAAGTATTCGGTAGCAGAAAATGGATTTTATAAAGTACAAGTAGCACAAATTTGTATTGAGCAAATGAATGAAGTTCCTTTCATCTAATCTAGAATAATACAAACACATTTAATCCATCCATCCATTGTCAAACCGCTTATCCTGCACACAGGGTCGCGGGGGGGCTGGAGTCCATCCCAGCCAACTTCGGGCGATAGACAGGGTACACCCTGGATTGGTCGCCAGCCAATCGCAGGGCTACACAGAGACACACAACTTCACACTCAACCATTCACACACCTACGGGCAATTTAAAGTCCCCAATTAACCTGATCCCCAGAGCATGTCTTTGGACTGTGGGAGGAAGCCGGAGAACCCGGAGAGAACCCATGCAGAGAACATGCAGACTCCACACAGAAAGGCCCCTGGGCGGAATCGAACCCAGGACCTTCTTGCTGTGAGGCAACAGTGCTAACCACCACGCCACCGTGCCGCCCAACACATTTAATTTAGTGCCAATTTGTAAAGATATTGATGGTCGCCAGGGGATGAATCCCACTGACTCTTTCGGTTTCAACATTTTTCTTTCTAACAAAGAACTATTTAAACTATATCAAATTAGATTTTTTTTTTTAGCTTTTATGCATTGTAGCCTATATGTTGAAGAAACATTTAACGATTTAATTTCTTTAGTTTGCAGAAGAAATGATTTCATGTTTCAAAGGTGTAAATCAGTCACAGAGCCGTAAATGCGAAGGATCCGTCCTTAGGGGCTACGCGTGTGGGTCTTAAAATGTTCCCCTTGTCTCTGTCCTTCGCGGGCCGCTCAGGGCGAGGAAGCGCGTCCATGACGGTGGAAAGAGGCGAGGCGAGCCAGGACCTCCTCCAGGGTGTCAGGAAGAACAAGAACGCACAACCTGAGTGACAAAAGAAACACCGTAAATCAGGGGTCTTGAACCTGATTGGCGAGGTGGAGCAGGGACCCCCTATCCTACGGAGTTTGATCCGCCATCTTTTATTTTTGCATTTCGCGCTCTTTAGACGTGAGCATCAACGCGATCTGATTGGCTGCTGCCTGCGCTGACGTAACGGCATGAAAGGAGCTGTGAGTGAAGCGGTGCTCAGCTTGAAGGCTGCTGGAAGCTGAGTGTGTTTATTACGGACTGAAAGATAACGTCTTCAATTCATCCGTTTGCTACAATATGTTGGATTCATGTCAATGTGAATTTAAATACAATTCTGATTTTGAAGACATTTAAATTTGTGGGAAAAAAATGGTCTTATCAACCAAACATTTTGCGTTGAAGACCTCTGCCGTAAATGTTTCCCGCCAAGGAGACATTTAAAGTAACCTGCCAAGCGTCACGTCTCTCACCGCAGATGGTAGTTGGCTGCTGTCTCTCCGTACTGACAGCCGGCTCCTAAAAACACACCCGTTTCCTCCAGTAACATCTGACAATACAGGTCCTCTGCCTGCACCTTCAACATCTAAAAGCAAAGATGTGAATATTATCAGTGGGCTTTTTGTTTGACACTGACAGAATAACTTTGTCAGTTCCTTGTTTCAGAGCTATAGTTGCTGAATTTCAAGGAGATTTTATACATTGCTAATTAACTTTATATAATCAATTTACTGTACTTTGTACTAAAAAAGCAATGTGACTCGCGCTAGGAAAGCAGTTTGAATGTACTTTCTTATTGAAGAGTAATGTATCATTTAAGATATAATTTACTCTAATGAAAACAGGCAGAAAGTGTCGTTTAGTAGCATTACATTTAGTTACATGACGTCTCATAAGTCTAATAACTCAACACCTCGGCCTTCTCTGTAATCTCGGGCGGTAAGTGCAGGCGGGGATAAAGGTAGATTCCCCCCATCGCTGGCTGACAGCTCATCCCTGGTAGATCATTCAGGAACTCCTGAGCTCGCTGAGCGTTCTGGGACAAAACAGCCCGAGTCAGCAGAATCTCCTTTGGGAAAAAAACAAGAAAGATCAGACATTGTCTTGTGAGTTCTATTGCAACACAGGACGGTTACCTATAACGTCTGTCTGAGCCAACGAGGCAGGACAACGAGCGCTGACCGAGCGAACCTCCGATCGACCTTTTGCTGCCCCGACGAGGCGCCGCAGACGTCTCACCTGGCGGTACGTGTCAAAGGAAAGCTCGCCGGGTCTTGGTGGGTCGACCATGAGATCCAGAGCCAGCTGTCCTGTGACCGGAGTGCTGATATCGGTACACAGCATAGTGTCAACGAAACGCATCACCTCCGGGTCAACGTTGCGTTGCTCGATGTATCCCGCCCGCAGGCCGTCCCTGGGACACCTACACACGGGTGATTCCGTGTTTTCACTTCGTTGGGTCAAGATTGCTCCAGCAGCACAAAGCTGCACAACTGAGCATTGTTGTAAATTGTTTTTAATTCAAACTAATATTGGAATACATTTGCAAAATGCTGTTACAATACAAGATGTGCAAGAGCACAGAACTCACTCTCCCATGTGGGCGCTGGCTAAAGAGTGGAAGGAGACCAACTCCACTGTGTCCGAGTACTCCCCGCCCATCTCAAACAGAACTCTCTTGTAGGAAATAAATTCCCGGCCCGGTCCATACACGCTGTCCTGGTGCACCTTCAGCGCAGAAGAACAGGGATTTGGTGGACGAGCAAAGAGGGCGGCGGGTAATGAATCCCAATCTGAAGATGGAGCTTGTGATCACCTCATCAACCAACAGTAGAAGCCGCTCCGCAGCTGCAAACCGGATCACCTCCTCTATCGATTCCCAGTCCTGCACATGACCTGAGGGAGACACAAGCAGCCGCCTGCACGTAGTGATCAAAGGCCCGGGGGGGGCTCCTGTGTGTGGTTTTACCTGTGGGGTTCCCCGGGTTGCTGATGTAAACGGCTCTGGGTCTGCAACGCTCCCGAGCGCTCCTTAAAGCTCGGTGCAGCTCGTCCAGATCCACGGCCCAGCGCCGGGCCTCGGCCAGCCGGTACGGCGCCAGCGTCACCCGGGCCTGGTCCAGAAGAGCCGGCAGGGTGTGTGGGCCGGGCACCGGGACCAACACGCCTGCCCGGGTCTCCTCCTCCCCACCGGCAAGCAGCTTAACAAACACCTTCACACAACAAGTCGCTGGCTTAACTTTGACCCGCCATCCTTGTGGTAAGTGGTTTGCGTCATTATTTTTCCGTCTACCTTTCTTTGGAAGCGCTAATTGATTATTTATGACTATATATGATGATTATTTATGAATTGTAATGCAAACCACGTGTTCCAAGAAGACAAAAGGCTGAATTTGAGGATCTGCAAAGGTCAAAGGAGAGAAGTCACTCTGTCGGACATAATCAGTTCTTATTATTTCTTCTCAAAATTCTGTCCATTTATTATTTACATTTTGCTTTCCGCGCACTTAAAGGTTCATTTGAATAAAGTTATTGGAGAGAACCATGTTACCAGAACTCTGACATTAGGCTCAAAATAATCCTTATTTGCCCATAAAACTATTTCCGAGTGCATCTGGACAATGAGTTTTGGTGACACCTTAATAAAAAAGAAATAAATAACCATCAGGGCTCTCTCCAAGCCGGCAGAAATGAAGATGTCTTTGGCGCGTGCCGGCACTCCAACGTCTCGTCGCGTGACGAACTGGGCGACGCTTCGCCGGACGTGAGGCAGGCCGGAGGAGGCCGTGTAGGAGCCTGTGGGTGGGTCGATCACTGGATGAGCCCCCGTATTCGTCCACGGCTGGTAATTCAAGTTTCTTTTTAAAGAGTAACGCGTTGTGCCTCACCCACACTTCCTCCCTCGCAGGCCTCCAGGAGTCTCTGAGCCCTCCGCCTGACGTCCAGAGGAAGACTTTCTTCTTCCAGCAGCCGAGGGAGGAGACACACGGCCAAAACCTGAGGAAGTGAGCCGGATTCAGGGCAACGGGAGAAAATGTATGGAATGTTGATCACCATGTATGTGCGCTGCTTGACGTATTAAAGTCAAGAATACTGAAGCACAGAGATGTTTGTGGAAATAAAACACAGATTATGAAGAAAGAAATCGAGGATCAGAAGAATTGTGTCAATATTCCATCACAATGAATACAACAAATATACATAAATCAAGTTAATTTATTTATTGAAAATGGATACATACAATCCAAACACAAATCCCCCGTCATTTTTTTTTTGAATGACCTGAAACTCACCTGGCGAACAAATGTAACAGGTTTGAATCCCGCTCTGTGGGGATCACCTGCGCTGACGTCAATCACCTCTTTAAAGGGTTTCAGCGCCCCCTGCAGGGCCACACATGAATGAGTTCAACACCAAACACACCACCATCCTTTTTTACAAGAACACATAAAATCATGAACTGTGGGGAATGCGACTTTTGTAAACTATTGCTCCACGTTCAAACTGTCCGGTGTGCAAAAATGTATTGTTTGGTGTGAATCAGATGTTAAGGACAAACCAGACGTCCAATGATGATAAACGGGTATTCCATTGGTTTGATGGAAGTTGCACAACGACTCCACATTTTAACTTAAGGACGAAAGTAGATCTTTCACGTTTATCTGTAGTTACCCAACAGCAACTTTTCAAAACAAATAGATTGACCTCCTCAGTACACACACACACACACACACACATTGAAAGTGAAGCTCACTCTGTTGGCACTTACTGGTGTGATGTCTTGTCTCACTCGGGGATTCACTTGCTGCAGGGAACTCATCGTCGTTTTGCTGAAGATTTCACCTCAAATTACCGCCGATGATCCAACAGACGCCTGAGTGGCGAGATGTTATATGTGCACCTTTCTGGCTCATGCAGCCTGACCGAGCTCTCCTGTCTAATGAGTAACCATCTATGCTAATGTTCTGCTGCATAACGGTCAGCAAACGGGTTTTTGAAAACAACAATCTTTTCGAGCTCCATCAACAAACATTTGAGACTTCCAGCGTCACTCGTTCCCCTTTTTAAGTACAGTTCAGTTAAATGGACCTCAACATTTCACCGTTATGATGTTTAATTACACAGGCTCTGTACATGATGGTCTGTCACTTTTTGTATGAAACCTTTCTTGTAATAGCTGTTTTTCACTGAGACAATCATTATCCAGTATCTTAGCTCAAACGCCAGTTTATTTAAACTTAATTTTTAACTCTGTAACTGATCTGATGTGAAAAGCAGAGTCTGTACTGTACTTAAAATGATGGATTACGCAGAGTTACGTGGACACAAAGTAATCCGTAACTAGAGTCTCCTTCAGCTGTCTCGCTGTTCAATGCACAAAAACGGCAATCTGCATGTTGTTATTGACCTGATTATGAAAATGTCATATAGTAAGTCCAAAAATGGTCAAATAGATGTAAATATATATTATGTTAGATAGTATATGAGAGTATATTTTGAAAGGAGCCTTTGTATAGGACGCGTTTCAAAAGGACATTACAGACAGCAGGATATTAAAGAGCTTTATTAAATGGAAACTTGCATAGCATTTTAAAAGTCCTTATAGTGGACATTTGGCATAGTTACGTGGAAATTTGCGTCAGCCTGAAATACAATGGCAGCATGCAAAGAAAAGCACTTTTGCATAGAAGTCCCCGCTTAGAGCGAACGCGGCATTGAGGGACGAGGGTTCGTGTCCACGGTAACATTTAAAAGGACACAACCTTCATTTCTACATAAAGTCACACTGAAATAAATGTGCAGTTCATTATCATAGCTTATGTATTAAAACAAGACCTCCACTGGTTCCATAAATAAAAGAAGTTCTATACATTGTGACACGCGACGGGAGCAGGAGGGCGTTAATAGATACGAAGCCATGCAGCGGGTAGATCGTGGAAGTGGTTTGATGCAGATCCAGTAGATTTGCATCTGTTGATTGGAGCCAGATGATGGAACTCGTTTTTATTCACAGCCCTTCTTCATCTGACTGAGATGAAAACATCTGATACGAGGGGGGTAGTTCATTCAGAGCCCTTTGAAGAGGTGTTCAAAGACCTCCTCGGTGCGATCTGGTGAGGATTTATTCCTCACAGCTCATCCAGTTAGCGCTCTCCCAGGTGGAAAAGGAACATCTGACCTCCGGGTGGAGAGGTTCTGCTGTCAGAGTTCACGTGGAACTAAAAACCCTTTTTAAACCCATTTCATGAGCAGCTTTCTGAGCAGAATCCGCTGGTTGGTTGGAGGTTGGAGACTCGCTATTCCAGAGGTGGTGCAAGTTTTAATTGACCTTGTCCCAAAGAGCGATATCAAAGGCACATGGGTGATATTTTCTCCCTTTGTTCCATTTGTGTTACCTGAGTTTTCCCCTCAAGACCAAAACACATTAAGAGTGAACTTTATAAGCTATAAACTTCCTCTTTTGGGTTTATACGGGTCTTTGATACCATTACTTTGATAACTAACAGTTCAGTTCTTTTTATCCTTAATTAAGACACTAGAACAGTGTCCGTTTGGTGCAGTAGGGACGTCCCTAGTCACGTGCAATGCTGTGTTATAATCACGGGGATCAATCAACAACATTGATTGATTGCTCTCGTCTCATCTTTGACAGAATTCATCTTTTGTTTTAAAGCAGAAAAGCACTTTTTGTTGTCGTGGCAGACATTCATCACATTAAGACTTTCCATTGATGATCCGTGTTTTGATTTGGTTCATGAAATGTTAATTATTTCCTGGATGTCTTCATAATAAATGTCTTGTGTTCAGATCAACAGTCCGATGCAAAACCAAAAGGTTGCCGGTTACTTTTCTGTCCGATGATGATCAGAACTCTGGTACGTCATCATGAAATCATCAGCAGAACCTGTTTCACTCTGAATGGGTTTCAGCATCAAGTCCATGATTGCTTTTATAGCTTCATTATGTGAGGTTTTATTTATTTTTTGTCCATGAGACGCTTCTGTTTGTCACTTTTTGCTCTGGTGTCTCACAGTTTATGGTTTTTAGTCCAGTTGTGACTGTAGGAAGGCGGATTAGCTGCGCTTTGCTGTCACCTGCTGCCTCAGTTTCTCTCTTCTTTTCTTCTCCATCAGCCTGGAAAAGCAGAAATGACGTGTTTGTGTGAGTATAAATTACAATGTCATCCCCATGCAAACACGTCAGTCAGCGGATGAAAATATTCCTGGTAATCTTTAAATTAGTATCTTTATATTTGCTTTGAAACGGAACCTGACAGAACAGCTTCAAGACTTTCTTCTTTTCGGGTGGTTAACATAACTGATCTATTGTTCCGGCATAAATAATAAAGAGCGTGATGTAATAATTAACTGGCTGTGTACTGAGGCCGTCTCCTGGGGCTCTCCCCCACCCCCCCAGTATGATCCATCACCTGTGGTTTCGAGCCTCCACCAGCTCACTCAGTTGGTCCTGAGCTGCTCGGAGCTCCTCCAGACTCTGCTGGTACCCGAGGTCCCCTGAGCCCGACCTCTCCAGGAGGGACACCTGGTTGGACAGCTCGCTGGTTCGATCCCGCAGACGCTGGATGGTCATGTACATGTTCTCATCGTCCTCCTCCTGCGGCCACGGCGGGGGGGAGGAGGAGGAAGAGGAGGAGGAGGGGGCAGCGGGACAAGTGTGAGTGGTCGGTTGTGAAGCGGAGGGATCACGTCGCGCTCTCTGAGCCAACGGTGTACCTTTGCATTGACGATCTCCACGTGGACCAGAAGCGATGCCAGCTCCAGCTCTTCGCTGTAGCTGTTCTTAAGCGGGATGCTCCTGTAGCCTGAAACCGCAGATCACACAACTGATTCAAACTTTTTTGACTGGATGAATTAGTACTGGCCAAGCATCAGGCCGGTGGGTCCCACCCCTCCAATGCAGAATGCCCAATCACAGCATCCGGTAACTATAGATGGGGGCTTCATAGTCTTTCATGAAATGAATGGAACTACCAACCTCTCTACACTATGACCTGTATCTGCAGAATCAGCTGGACAAGCTGGAGATGTCCTATAAACTCACATTGGGGAGCATTCTGTCTGCTTCTCTCTAACGCATATAAGTGCTGATAAAGCCATGATAAAATCCAGAACATCTGACTGTGTGGAGCCACAGAGGTCTAATGGCCGACTCTACGATTGGCTGGCGTGTGTCGGAGGGGCGGGACTTAGCCGTGCGCTAAAAGCTAAACGGGGGTTTCTCTTCACCTGTTCGTAGCAGACGCACCGGGTAGGTCGCCTGTGCCAGGAAGTTGGGGTCACTGAACATGTCCTCCTCGAAGACGGTGAACCGCAGAAAGGAGAAGGTGGGGTTGTGGATGTCAAACACAAACTGCTTCTGCAGCCACACAGGATTCAGTCCGTTATCAGCTGGGTGGGTCAGGAGCGCAGCGTCAGTACAGAGACATGGACACAGCACAGGACACCACGTGTCTCACAGGCAGCTTTCTTACCGACGACGTCGGTCTTGCATTTGCAGCCGTCGTAGTCGGCTCCACAGATCTCCACCTCCACGAAGGGACAGACGATGCTGCGGCCGTTTTTAGGGAGATGACGGGCTCCCAGCACCTGATCCATGGACAGTGGAGGAACGTGGGAAGACGGCACAAGAAAGTCAATACGAAACGATCCTCGCTACTTTTGAAATACTTGTACTCCTACGACCGATCCGACCTGCAACTGGACGGTGATCGGCTCCACGCGTAACGTGTCCTTGTCGAAAGGGTCGAAGGCCTCGTCCCTCATGACGTCGGGCTGTGGGACGAAGCCACTGGCCCCTCCCAGCATGAACAGGGCCTGGTTCAGCTGCATGGGTTTATCTACACACACACACAGTCACATTTATTCATGATCTATTTATCTGTATATTTAGCACAATCTGGAGTATTTTGATTCTATTCTCTGTCACTTCTATGTGTACTTGCTTCGACCTTTTGTGTAAAAGTGCACGCACACTCGCACACTGACCCGGGGTCTGGAAGTTGAGTGCGACCAGCTGGGAGCCACAGAGCCACATGGAGAGCGGGTCGTAGTTTGAGGAGTCCAGCCTCTGCCCTCTGGGGTAAACCCTGGAGAGCTGACGCCGATTGTACTGCAGGAAGCGTTTCCCTTTGCTGCGGGTGGCAAACTTCTCCGCCTTGGTCTCCGGGAAGGAGGACATGTCCCGGTACCATGCCCGCTCCGTCCCGATCTCTACGAGCAGCAGCGAATCCCCCCCCAAAAGAGGTCAAAGACAAAACCTAACGGGGAAAAAGCGAGGCGCGAGGCGGCGAGAGAGCGATGTGGTCCTTACTGTCCTCGTTGAACGGGACGGGTCTGCAGTAGATCACGAGCTCCGACAGCTCCACCGCGATCTTCTTCCTCCTCTCCATTTGCTTCTCTCCCGGCATCTATCTCCAGGGAGGGGGGGGGCAATATTTCATTATTAGTTCCTCTTGAGGGAGCGGCCCAAACATCTGATTCGTCTGCCCATGCAGAATCTAGTTCAGCATCACTGGGCTCGCACTGACCCGCGCGTGGGCTTTTTGCGCCGCCGCCCTGATCTTGCCGACCCAGCGGGTCACTTCCTCCGCGCTGTCGGCCCCCACATCCAGGTTCTGACCCGGGGGGGACGACAGCTGCGGGGAGTGGAGGGGGAACACGGGGGGGCGGGATTTCTTCCCGCCCTTATGCCCCCCGGGACACACCCAGGGAGACAAAGCTCTGTGTGGGGGGGGGGGGGGGGGGGCGGTTTTGAAGAACTAGGCGCTAACCTGGTGTCTGTTCGTCGGGACTCACCGACATGGCAGGTGGGCACGTCGATGAAGCCCTTCAGGAATGTTCCAAGAGGACTATTCTCCGTGGACTGACACGGCAAGAAATACACACGTGCAACATGTAATTGGATAAAAACGAGCAGATCACATGACTGAAGGATCCCAACTCACTGCGTCATCCATCTCCCTGGTGGGAGAACTGGGAACCTCCTCCACGTAGTTGGCGGGGAACCACAGCTGTTTCTTCCCTCCGTAGTCACCTCGCCACCTGAGGACGCAGAAAGCGTTGACGGCGGGCTGCTCTCATTGTGAAGGAGGCCACGCGGCGCCATTGGGGGGCTTACTCACCAGCTGCCCTCCTGCTTGTCCACGTTGGTGACCAGCGCCTGCTTGGGGAAACACAGCTCGTCCTCCCTCTGAGCTCGATAGTCGTACAGCGCTTTGACCGTGCACTGAAACGCAGCACGGGACGACACCCTCGTCACTATCTCCGCCACACAGCGCAGTTTGAGATACAACCACTTGGGGGGAGCGCATTTATTTTTTTCCTCCTCCTTTAACTTATCTGAGAACACAGAAATTGCTAGAACTGGAGATAGTGAAAGCTGAAGAAGAGTTATAACGCTATTAGATGTTCAGCGCTTACATGAGCAGATGAGTAGTATTTTACGAAGGAGTACAAAATGTAATTCAGATATTTACTAGACTGCTGCTATGGGTTGTGTAGTTTCACTTCTAACAATTCTAACAAAGTCTTTCCATATTACCTTACAGGATGATCCATTTACTAAATGATATAATAAAGATGGTAATCGTTGAATAAGTCAAGCCTTAAAAGTGTGGCCCAACTGTACAAAAAGGTCTCACTTACCCGTGCTGAGGGCATCTTATTGGCCTCCACATAGAAATGAGGGCTGCGGACCTCATACAAAGCCCCGTAGTCGAGCTCCTGAGAGATACACCGCAAGGAAGCGTTACTGCTGCAGTCTATACTGCCGTTATTTAACTCAATCAGCTGTTTGATTTAATACAATGAAATACGTCGCATGTCGACCAGAAGACAATTGTCCGGGTCCAGAATGCCATTGAATAATAAAAGCACAAACGCATGTTCATTTGTGAACCCGACAGCCGTAACGTAAACTCACGGCGGTGCCCATGCGATCCAGCGTGTCCTCGTTGATGGGGTACCGCAGCCTCATCTTGCGGTACAGAGGATGTTTCTCATAGTAGCTCACGAGGTCGACGAGACTCTCGAACTCCGCCGAGCTGCCCAACATGAAGAGACGGCCTTCCTGCTGAATGCGACAGTGTTTGATCTTCCCCTCCGCCCTGCGGGGAGACGGACGCGGGAGGGACGACTCGTCACGACAGCCATAGAGACGAAACGCTTTAGGCGTTTTTTTTTCAGAATGAACAGGCTTCTTCTACCTGAAGGAGATGGCGTAGGAGTGGTTTTCGCTGCGTTTTCGCACCAGGAAAGCTCCGTCCCTGGGGACGCGCATCAGCATGTGCTCCGCCTGGACACGGGACAGACTGGAGTGGTACCACCTGGAGGGCACAACGCCCGGTCAATTCACTGCCTCTCGCCCACCTTCACTCGCATCTGACAGACGAGGTGTGACCTGTCTGCGGGCCCCTTACTCTCGGCTCTCGTGGGCGTTGGGCTGAGGCACGGGGCCCCCCAGCCTCATCTCGAACTCGTTGCAGCGCAGAGGCGTGTCTCTGTAGTGGCAGATGAGGCGGTAGAGGCTGTCGAACACCAGGTTGTCAGTCAGGTAGAAGCGGGTGGAGCCGGACTCCTGGCGCGAATGGATCCTGCAGTGCTGGACGCGGCCGGAGCGCCTGGAGAGAGAGAGGTGTGGGGGGGGGGGGCATGCGGGGCGTTAAAAGCGCCAATCTGCCACAAAAATCTGGGCGGCTGAACAGAAGTATGGAAAAAATTACAAAAACTATCAATATTTTAATAAATAATTGATGATTAATGAATATGATCAATATTACGGTATTTATCTGTAAATTAGGTGTGCCTTTTTTCCATCCTTATCAATAACCCTGGTTATTTTTTACCCATTCTTTGATAGATTCTTCAATAACTAGTAACTACGAGTATTGAAGTATTCTATTTGTCCATATGATTAGAGGTGGGCTTCTGTACTCCACTGTAAAAAAGAGAGGTCACTTTTACTTTTACAGAGACGTCCTGTTAAATATTACCGACCAGAACGAAAGGGTGTAGTCTCCGACAAACGTCTCGCTCTCCCGGACCAGGAAGGTGCCGTCTTTGGCCCCGCCCTCGCAGTACTCCTGCAGGAGCTTCTCAGCCACCTGCCGACCGTCGCGACCTCCACCCAGCTTCCCGTGGAACCAGCGCTCCGCACAGTGCTGCTCGTTATTGTTACACTCCTGACCAAATACAGCAAAGGGCAATTAAGCGTCATCGCCCCCCCTCCGAGTAATACTTCACTTCGTCCTTTATTGAACATAACCGTCTCCCCCACCTCTCTTCCTTCGTCCTCCTCCTCCTCTTCCTCGGCCGTCTGGTAGTGGGACGTCTCCTCTGAGTAGTAAATCTTATTACTGGTCAGGACGAAATAGTGCGGCGTCCACGTCTGTGAGTCACACAAAAACACCCGTTCAGCAACGACCACGCAGCGGGCGCCGTACGCGCGGTGCGGAACAACAACCGATGCACACGCACGTGGTCGATGGGGTCTTCCAGGTAAAGGATGCCGTTCTTCAGCGAGTCGCTGATGTCGTTCTCCGAGTAGCTGGCTGAAGACACCTCTTCGTACAGCGTGCCCTCGACCAGCTTCTTGTGCTGCGACAACAGGGATGAAGCTTGAGCGGCGCTGTCCGATGTGGGGGCATCGTCAGTGGCCAGATCTTCCTAAAGGCCCTTTGAGGTGTGCGTTTGGTTTGTGTACCTTGATGAGGATCTTCCTGCGTAGCTGGTACGGCGAGGGGAGCTCCTCCGCGTTGTTATCGACCGGCTTGGTGAGCAGCAGATCTCCAAACACCTTCTTGAAGTGCGTGGCCATGTTCCTCTGCTGGACCACGCTGCAGTGGTCCTCGATGGACAGGATCACGGGGTAGCTGCGCAAACACAAAGGGCGGCCCGGCGTTGATCTCCGGCGGTTGTTTCACTTTCACCGACGGAACGTAAAAAGCTTACTCTGACGTGACGAAGGCTTGTTCTTTGATGGTGTGCAGCACGTCCAGGAACTTGATCTTGGAGGTCAACGTGTGACCGTGGTAGATGATCGGCAGGTCGTCAGGTCCGTCCCAACAGTCCACTGAGGTCGGAAAACAGAAAGGAACACAAGTGTTTAGCCGTTCCACACGCGGCCAGTATCTAAGGAAGTGTCATTATCTCGTTGGTTGGAATGAAATGCAGCAGAGGGTTACGTTCGATGCAGCGGCAGCCCATCCTGAGGCAGCGGGCGTAGGCTTCCAGAGAGGACTCGCTGGAAAACTGGTCACCTGTCAGGTAGCTGAGCAGAAGACAACGTGGAAACAAGTTTAAAAGGGGAAATGTACAATGCTGTTAGTGGAAATGTAAGATTTGCCGTCTCGCGTAGCGCTAGATTTGAGACACGGATGACCTACGTGTTGTGTGAAGAGGAGATCCAGTACTGAGACAGCGGCCTTTTCATGTCGTCGGCAACGACAGGCGACAGCCGAGGGTCACACACAGAATTCTCTTTAGAGAACAGGAACGTCAGGAACTGGAAAACAAAGCAAAGTGATCACACAGGGGAAAGAAACGGCCACGGCCACGGCTTTTTTTTTTTTTTTTACAGTCGGCTCTCGGCTCTTTACCTCGTCAAGTTGCAGCATGGGCTCCGGCTGCGGTCCGCCCCTCGTGTACCCCGCGAGGAACTCTCTGACGCGACTCAGGTCCGCTGCCCAGGACTCCTGAGACCAACCCGGAGGAAGAAAGTGAGCACAGAGCAGCTGTTAAGAGAGCATCGTCGGCGTGTGGGCGGTGACGGGCCGGCGAATCCGCTTCCGTACCTTCTGGTCCATCTGTAAAAACTTCTGGAAGTCGTAGAGGGAGATCTGACAAAGCTCCGGGCGATCAACGTTCCTGCAAACAACGCGTCACGCAGCGGGAGTGAAGGTTAGAGAAAGGTGTGCGGACAGGTAGAAGGTAGAAGAGTGGGGGAGGTGAAGACCAGGGAGCGGACACCGAGGAAGAGGAGGCACTCACCGCAGTGGGAAGGAGAGCTCCAGCTGCTCAATAATCTGGGAACAGAAACAAGGGAGGAACGAGTCGGATGTAGATAAACTGTACTTTAACTCGTCCAGAACTCCATTTCAGAGGGAATTACATCTGATGGTGGATGTTACTGGCTGTGTGTTTCATTAAAAAGAGCCTCAAATATTACTGCTTTCATCCAGTGTTCCCAAAATGAATAGCAGCAAGTTGTTGCTGCTCAAAACCGGAACGTTTACAGAATGCAGGAGAGCATGCAAAGTCACAGCTAATCATTTTGATCCGTGTAGAAATGTCAACCACTGTTTCCAGTTGTCTGCAATCCTATCGGTCAAAATTAGATTACGGCTGCAGCTCTGTAATGCAGCGTGATCGCAGATTAAGTGACAAAAGGGGAAAAGGCAACGTTGATGATCGCTGCGATTAAGCGACTGATTCACTACAGTCAAATGGCAAAAACCACCCTCCCGTTTTGGAGCATGAGTGTGAAAGCAATGGCCGGGAGGAACAGTAAGATAATATATATGTAAAAATACTACGTTAGGCATCAACGTACGCAGTGCAATAAGCATACGGCCCTTTTCTCCCACTGCGAAGCAACTGCTTTTATGTAAGCGAAAGGTTTTTAGTACTTCTTCCAAACACTCACAGTCTTCTGAGCGTCGAACATCAGCGTTCTGTAGAGCTGGGAGAAGTTGGGGTACGACAAGTCGCTCCTGGCCTCCACCTCCTTTGTGAACAGGGAGAAGGAGAGTCGATCGGAGCGGCTCAGGGGAAATAAAATGAAAGACGTTTCACATGAATGCGACTCTTTACTTTGGCTCTGACCTGCAGCTTGTCTTTGAGGAAGCGCGTGTTGGGCACTCTGTAGTTGACCTGAGGCAGCAGACCTTTCACGTCCTTCACCGTGATGCTGGAACAAGACACAAGCGAGGGAAGGTTTAAAGGAAACACACGCGCGCGAGAGAACCAGGAGATGGCGCTCTTTGCTTCAAAGCGCCAAAGTCAACGGGAGGATTCGCACATTCGCAGGCGGAGAGCGAGGACTCCGAGGTTAGAAGGTGAAACGTCTTGTCCTGGACGCAGAGGAAAGCTGCCTACAGATGACCACTTACAGGATGGCATTCTCCAGCACCAACTCCTCAATACCCTCATATTAACAACGAGTTTAATTATAGAAATGGAGTTTGTTGAGCTTAACGGATGTTAACAAAACGCTGTTGTGGTGCATTCAGCAGCTGTTTTATGATGTCACACCCTCTCCAGCAGCCGTCAGAGGGTTTCAATGAAATGTTTCCATTTTCTTCTGAGCACGTCCACGGTGGCTCAAGAGATTAGCTGTTTCCACGGTGAAGAATAACACTTGCCAACGGGGCAAACTCCCTCTGTAGATAACATGTACACCAATGGCACAGCTCTTTAACAGGCTTAGTTTTTTAATCAATTAAAGAGCGCATTCGCACATATGTTGTTGCAGCTTCTTCTGTGGCGTTGCTAATGTCTTTACCTCAACAATCCTTTCTTTTTTCTTTTTTTTTTTTTTTTTTAGGACAAACAACACATGGATAATGACTTTTACTGATTAACAAAACACATGCGACCGGGGAAGAAGGCGAGAGGCAGGTAGAAAAATGATCCGGGTCAACGCGCTGGGACGATCTGCTGGGGTCAACGCCCGCAATCACTGCCAGGGCTTTTTGCTCCCTCTGTCTAGCTACTGTTACTATTTTCACAGGAGACAGGAAGTTGCCCTCTCCCGGCCCATCGCATCACTTCCTGCTCCTTATCAGGCAGCGGCAGGCTGTTTGTCCTGCGGCGGCTTCCACCCAAAACAGAAGCTGGGATTTTATTAACGCGAGCATGAGAGAAAGCCGGCGTGAGACGTGCGCGGACGTGGGTGTGGATGTGCGTGGAGGTTGAGGTCATTGCAGACCCCTGACAGGGGGCGTGACACATTGTGTCATAACATCCGGATCGGGTTTCACCGCCACGTGCCACCTGCCGCGACGGAGCGGCCAGCGAGCACCCGTCACGGGCGGCTGAGGGAGGTGTGATTGCGGCGAGTCACCCACCTGCCCTCGTGGGTCCGGTCCATGGCTTCAAACTGCTTCCTCAGCCACCTACAGCGGTGTGTGGGTGTGTGTGTGGGGAGGGGGGGGGACATGAAGAGAAAGGGGACACTTTTCATACCACATTACCACAAAAATACATCGGTCTCGTTTTACTAAAACTACAGCTTTTGAGACCAAAAACTCAAATTCTTACAATGTTTACTGAGGGATGAAATCAAATGAGAAGTGAGGTCATCATCTCACACGCTTGTTTTTTCCACTGATTAAAATAGGATGTATGTTTAAGGCACGCGTCCTTATTTTAGCTCAATGAAAATACCACCCTTATTTTCAGCTGATGATGCACTTATGAAAGCACACTTAATGCTATCTACTCACATTTCTACACACTGGCCCTTTAATTTAAAATAATCTGTATCTTATAATCTGTGTGTTATTAAGTAAGGAGAATTCCAATTTTAGTTTGACTTAAAACAGAGAATTTACTTTACACAGACGGCGTATTTGTCCAACCTGGGTCCAACCCAGGAGTCGAGAGACCAAATTAGCTATTTAATTTCCTCCGACCTTTTCCAAACATATACTGCTCTCGTTATGTCGACAGCCACCTTCTATTCTCCTGCCCGCACCACAGAAGCCACAAGTGCCCGCGCACGTTCATCTAGAGTCAACATTTTCATCCCCAAAACAAATGTTTGTCGTCTCCTCCGGGCAGCACCTCCCTCTCCCACCTGGTCACTGCCTCTCATTTCATCACATGTAGGCGGTGGAAGGACGGTGCTGGGTCACTCGTGAACACACTAATACGTTACATGCAGGGATGCAGGTTTAACTCTCGGTTTTCAAAACTTGATTCATTGTTTGAATATTGAAGTGTCTCAAATCAAATCAATCCACTACTTGTTCCACCGCTGGCTTCTTTTAAACCCTCAAACGTACCTCAAGTCAGTGTCCATTATCGACCAATAAGTCCTTTGAGTCTGAAACAGTGGAACGCACCTGTCAATCTGCTGTGGTGCGGGAGCTCTCTGAGTGTCCATCATCAGCCAGTTGAGCCCAGTGATCCACATGTTGACCTCCTCTTCGCTGAAGGCTGCAAAGACACGAGATAAACAAAGGGGTCGTTGTTTGGGGCACAAGCAGCGGAAAGACTCGTGTTTATTTTGAAACCTTCAAGTGTCAGTTCAAATGCATTGGCTCTGCATCTTCATTATGGTTTGTGAATATAGTAATATCAGCAAAGGAATGAATGAATAGTGCAAATCATCTCTCATTCCACACACACACACACCCACACACACACACACACACACACTGAATCATTCCACACATGACTACAGTAACTCTCATCACGGAAAAAACAAAAGGAACAGAGACGGACCTTCCTGGTAAACACTACAAACACCCTCTCTGACCCGAGAGCTCTCGGTACATACTTGTATCAGGACTTTTCCTCGTGTGTCAGGGCTTCAGTTTTCATTTCATCGTTGTAAAACAACAAATAAATGTGTCCTTGAAACATGCGGAAAACACATAAAACTTCTGAGAGTGATAAGCAGAAGATTGTAGAGAGTAGCAGTTAAAAGTTAAATTGGGAATCACTTGCTCACACACACACACACACACACACACACACACACACACACACACACACACACACACACACACACACACACACACACACACACACACACACACACAGGTTTCTCTGCACACTGACCGGCCACGCTGAGCGTCTTGAGGCGAAACTCCAGGCCGTAGAGCACGATGAAGCAGTGGGCGGTGTCAAGTTTACGGGCCTCCTCCGGGTAGCGCTCAAAATCACGGGAGCCTTTCCCCAACCGCAGCTCCCGGATCTCTCGTATGTCCACTGGAGGAGGCAGGAAGGAAGGAAGGAAGGAAGGAAGGATAGTGTTGCATGAACACAAATATGCACACAACCATGAATCACAGTTTGGCACGTTGTTCGCGTCCCTGCCAAACACACAGAAATGTGCTGCCGGAGAGCTCAACGAATGTACTGTGTGTGTGTGTGTGTGTGTGTGTGTGTGTGTGTGTGTGTGTGTGTGTGTGTGTGTGTGTGTGTGTGTGTGTGTGTGTGTGTGTGTGTGTGTGTGTGTGTGTGTGTGTGTGTGTGTGTGTGTGTGTGTGTGTGTGTGTGTGTGTGCAAGTCCACGAAGCCAAAAAACAGACGGACAAACATTTCAGCTGTCGGATGCTCCAAAAGTCTGAAGAGCTTCTCAACAGCAGGCAAAAAAACAGACACTGTTTTAGAAAAAAAGGCAGAAGTCCCTTCAAACCTCGATGGAGTCGGTCACTGGAGGGGGTGAAACAAAAAAAATATAAAAATGAAATAAAATAAAAATACAAAATGTATCAGTTTTAAAAGTACTTCTGAATTGTTCAAAGACTCGTCTGTCCATCCGGATGCAGGGTGAGTAATCGTCAGCGCTTTGCATCGTCACTAACGGCGACGATGACTTTCACGTGCAGCACATGGCTGCGGGGAACCTTTGGCTGAAATACGCAGACCAAATCGAGTTATTTTTCTACCCAGATATATTTCTTGTTTTGCCTGAAGATGTACAGATGTATTCTGTCAATGCTGCACCAGTAGAAATAGAGCTCCAAATACATTTTTTGTCCTAAAACGGTTTTGAAAATAGTAAACTAAAATGTGTGACAGGATTCTAGATAAAACCTTGTCAAGCATCTTTATTTAAGGTGGTTGTTCCTTAACGGTGCATTGACACGACATTCAAATAACACTATAAAGTTTTTAACAAGGAGGATTTGTATAGATTACAGCACAAGTGTGGCAGGTTATCCCAGTAGCCATGTGTTTGGTGTGCCAGCGCTTTAAGGATGATTAAGCTTTGTTTGTCATCTGTTCAACGAGGACGTTTCCAGCTCAAGCTTTGCCTCATCATTTCATTTCTTTTCTTACTTCTTAAAAACTCAGCACTGAAAGTGTTCAAATCTGCAGGTTCAATCGAATCATTTCTACATTCAACAAGTAATCCACACACGCACACACACACTCGCACAAATGGAAAGTGACTGAGAGCCCGAGTTGCAGCGGGAGGGTTAACGGGGCGGACGAGTCGGGCGACTGACCACAGAGTCTGATGTAAACTCTGCTTCGACACCTGCAGCAGCCGACGCGCCCGCCGAGGAGAACGTATTGACACAGCAGACGTCTTGTGCAAACACACAGAACCGTGCTCTCATAGATGCTCTGGCATTCACACACCAAACACAGGCCTCCACACAGCACATGCACACAATTGAACTGAATGCACCTCTTGTAAGCCTCCGTGCTATTTTCTTCCACGCAAAAGCAAACAGGAATATTATAAGAGAACAGAGAGGGTTCGTACGCGAGGGTTCACCCCCCCCCAGCAGGTAGAAGCAGCCGGAGCGTCTGCTGCTGCTCTCTGTCGTCCCTCAGCAGGTTGTATACAATCCTGAATGAAGGAGCCAAGAGATCTGGTTCCTATCTGAGCCTCCTGCATGTGCAGACGACAGGGAGCGTGTTTGGCATCAGATTAAGAGAGAAAGTCCGTTATCTTCGGATGGAACTGTGTGCATGATTTAGTCGGACGGGGGTTCGGAGCTGGAAGAAGCAGAAGAACGCGTAACCGAATCTGACTGAGTTCCGTTTTTTTGCGCTTGTGGAGGGGAAATTTCGGCAGCACTTTTGAACTAACGTCGTATTTTCCTGCAGCACAGCGCCTTAAAGGATACATCTCCTATGACGTTCTATATTCCTCTTAGAGTCAACAGATCCCACTTTTGCAAAAGACCAAGCAGCCCATGAATGTACTGTATGTACCAACACGTACACCCGCCAGAGCGCCAAACGAGCTGTAAACTGCATCTGAAACTAATTCACAACAAATGGACTGTTTCGTCCCGTTAAGTCATGTGTAATGAGAGCCAACCAGGGATAGGATGTAGCTGAGCTAGGGTTTTCTCTTCATTAGTAACCAATGGGCTTGGGGCTAAGAGCCACAGACAGGAAGTTGGTTTTTGCCGTTTTTCAAAGGATCTGTTGACATTCTTTAATTGGAGAAAAAAAAAAATCTTCTGGTTGCAGAGCTTCAGAGGGGGAAAAAGCTGCAGCGCATCTGGACACAAATCTATCCAACTATATTGACATTCACAACCGCAGATCCCATAAAACTGAATATTCCAAAACATTCATCTGCTCAAAGCAATTCTGAATGGATATTTCCTGTCAAAAACGATATCTCAACACTTTATCTTGCTGGATGAGAGTGGATGACTCCCTCTTAAATAAAGCCGAGGCAGCTGTTTTCAAGGAGGAGGGAAAACCTTGAAGGTTGATCGTTGTGATAGTTTCATGGCCGCGTTGTGCTACACACAGACATCTGATGAATGCAACCAAATAGAAAAACAAATGCACTTTTGGATAACATGTTTATGTTCAGTGCTGTTGCTGAAACTCGAGAATCCAAAGACGTTGGTAAGTTACACACGCCGATAGGTCAGCAGATACACACACACACACACACACGAGGCATGATGTCTCCGGCTGTGGCCTTCAACACTGGTGCATGGTGGTGATAAAGACACACAGGGCTTCTTCAAAGAGTCGGTCGGAGGAAGTCACACCGTGGGCCAACTGGAGACACATCAGAGTAGAAGATACTGCCAGCGGTCTCACACAAAGAAAGAAACTCAGGAATCATTGTCAGAGAACTTGGCAAAACTAAGCGTCTATCAGTCTTCGGTGAGCTCGATGCCTTCGCTGAATGAAAGCACCCTGAACGCACCATGAGTTTGGGTGCACTGCTGACCTGAAACCACCAGCCGTGGATAATTGCAGTGCATTTCCAGTGAAACAAACTGCTCTTGGTGCAGCTGGTGACATCACTCCCGACCAGATGGCAGACGTCTACTTGGGAGTTTATAAATCACAGGGAAGCAAAACTACGGGAGACGAGAATGGGAAATAAGCACGAGGGCGGGTCATAAAATGGACAAAGGAAAAAGTAAATGACTAGTGATGACTAGAGGGGGAGGGTTGAACTGTAAGGACTTCTAACCCCGTTGACATCTCAGTAAAACTAACTAATGCTGAACTTTGATTTGTGAATAAGTGACAGTTTTAGTGGCAACGCAAAGCAGCTACAAGTTTGGAGCAAAGGGAGGCTGATCCAATGCAGGTAGGAATTAAAAACCAATTAAAAAAAAGGGCGGTATCAGTATCGCACACAGCGATGCAGCTGTAATCTCACTCGGCGCGAGCTAACGAAGCAGCGCCTCATTTTGTGGTCCATGTCTTTGCTTCCTGCAGAAGATGCTGGACCTTTTGTTCCCCTGCAGCCAGCCAGTCCTTCGATTGGAGACGGGAAGCAAGACCCTCCCCGATAACCCCACGCTTCCTGTTCCTCGCGCTTTAATACCTCCGCTGTTTGCCAAGGCGCTCGTGTCAAAGACAAACAGCGCGGCCGAGGGAGAGACTTTATGTTCAGGCAAACGCCAGGAGAAAAAAAAACAAACAGGCAACAAAAACACAGGAAGGAAAATCAGGAGAGAAAGGGGGGAGCGGGGGAGGGGGAGAGGGGGACTAGACAGAGCGATGGGGTCATTTAGATAAATATGAGTTGGATTTCTCAGAACAAAAGAATCAATTTATTACCCTGGACTTCAGATTGAAAGCGAAAGCAAACAGATGATAAAGGGCGTTTTAGTGGAGGGAGGAACCCGGAAGAGGACCGCTGGGGGAGAAAGACGGGTGGGAGGGGTGGAAGAAATACGTGGGTCGCTGAGCGAGGGAGCTGTGGGAGATCAAGTGAAGGAGAGACCTGTTGAGCTCCTGGAATGTGCCGCTGTGTTTCTCCAGAGGGGGGGCGTTTTTTTTTTTTTTTTTTTTTTAAAGGGCCGCTGGCGGGTTATGAGCGCAGAGGTGGTGTGGGTGTTGTCCTTTGCATATGCGGGGGCTTTATGATTACGGATAATATTTTAATAAGTCCCCCCTCCCCCTCCTCCCTCCCCCCCGAGCAGAAACAACACCTACATCTGTGCAGCTGCCACAAGCGTTCAGAGAATGGGGTTTTGGGGGGGGGGGGGTTACTGCAGATGCAGCGGCCTTGGGAGGATAACACACATAGATAAAGAACAGGAGCAACTGAACGTCTTCCACCAGTCGACACCAGTTCTGTGGGATTGTTACGTGCAATAAGACACGGGTCACGTCGTCGTAACACTGTTGACACTCGCGTGTTTCGGGACGTGCTCCTCCGGCAGCTTCTTTGTCCTCCATCTCTGTGTTTCTTTAACTGTTTGATTTCGTTGTGATGCCCAACGGGCCGAAGACGTTTCCCTCCACCGTCCACTGTCTTCACCACTGGGGACTGAAAGAATTCCCCTGAGCGGGATGACGGCAGTAAAGCTATTCGTCTCTCACGGGGGCCTCGCCACTTCTTTTTCCTGCACGGCGCTCCCATCGAGTCCTGGAGTTACAATCGCACGTGGCAGACAGAAGGCAGCGAGTTCTCCCCGGTGCTGACAGACACTGCAAGGAATCCTACCCCAGGTCAGACAATAGGATACACGGACCAGGTCCACCAAGACCTAACAGGTCCTTTCTTTAAGTTTCAACCTCAACAGAGGATGGAGTTCACTCAGCTGTCATGTTGATTCATTTCAGTGTGTCATCGGCAAAGATTATGCCAAATTTATTAAATAAACCAGATAATCTTTCGTTGAAAGTGTATTGTTATCTGATACACAAGGAGCAATGAGAGAGCAATGCCTAATTAAGAGAAAGTCTAAAATTCTGATTTAATAAGGAAAGTATTGGACCAAATGTCTGAGAAACAAGACTGAGTCGCGCAGTCAAAACAAACGGTCGATACGAAGCAGTTCTCCTTCCAACAGAAACATTTTGGCCGACGCTAAAAGAGTTTAGATGTTTTATATTCAGTCCTTGTTTTAAAAGGGTCAGTTCAGACAAAATGCTTTTTCTAACGGACACCTAACAGTGTGTAGCAAATGCAGAGTTCTAAACCTGTGGAACGTCTGCTGCCACGCTACAACAATGGGCATCAATGGCGTCATTGTTTGTGGTGGTGAAATATTGACCTCATACAGTCGTCCTCCACGTGGGGTCATAATATGTTTTTATCTAATATTAAATACTTAAAAATACTTTTGGGGATTAGTTCAGTGATAAAAACAATCTGCGAAAGAGCGTTTTTCTTTGGTTCCACCAACCTGTGATGAAGAGGAGGTTTTATTTGTTTAAGGGGCCACAAGCCAAAAGGTTGGGACCATCTTTAGATACTAAATCTGCATCCATGAAGTGAAGGATGTGAAGAATATACAAGTGTGAACATGATGCATGTGACTGAAACGCACCACGGATGTCCCCTTCTCTCCCATGAACTTTGAGCCCAGTAGGTCCACTCAGTCCTCACCCTCTAAATCAATACTCACCCTCTCCTTCTACTTTCTCAGGGTTTCGTCCCCACACTATCTGCCGCATGTCTTGCTTTATCTGGAAGGTTCTCCTCTCGGGCCTCTGGGACTTCTTCTGGTAGAAGAGGGTCATCACTGTCCCCATCTCGAGGCTGTGGAGGATGCGCGGGCCGGCCTCCGTCCAGTCCAGCGCCCGGGATGCTGTGGCCGGACCCGGAGACCCCGCGGGACCGCCGGCGGCCCCCTCGGCACAGCCGTTGTGGCAGCCGCTGAACCTGGCTGCACACATCTTCACTGCATAGCTACGCGCACGCCTCGCAGGATCACTGGTGTGTGGGAGGATGCCAGGATGCCTGTCCGTTAAAATCCCTTTAATCCGCGAAGGCGCTAATTGTCCAACATGTCCACGCCACCGGGGACGGGAGGAAACGGTCCTTCCGAATCACAGCAGGCACGAGATAGAAGTGGACAACCAAAAGACAGCAGATATCACTCTGGAGCAGGAACCCCTGAAATGGGATGAGTGGTCCCCTGGTTTCTGTGGAAGGGGGTGTGGGGGAGAAGAGGGAGAGAGGGTCTCTTCGGCTTATCCTTTCCAGATGCTTCAGGCAGCACACCAGCGCAATCCTCCCCGCCGCTGGCCTCGGGTTTCCATTCTCTGAGTGTCCTCCTGCCGCTCCTCGCTTTGCCGCTCACTGGACTCCGCGTCCCTCCCGCTCGGAAGACTTCTGCGGGGACGCGTCGGGCGGGCAGGCGGGCGAGGGAGAGGACGCGTAACGGCGAGAGACAGAGACGGAGAGAGAGAGAGAGAGAGAGAGAGAGGGAGGCGCGCGCGCACTGGAGACCACGGAGCGGTGTCTCTCCCATCCGCCGGACCCTTCTCCCCCCCACCCCCTTCCCCCCTGCACTCACTCCTCCTCCCTGGGCACGTTGCACCGCCGTCGGGAGCCCTTCCCCTGCAACCGAGGGCTGGAGGCGGGCCGCGGGCCGCGAGAGAGCCGTCCCGGGGTTCCTCGAACCGGGATCCCCCGCTGACGTCTGCTCGGTCTGCGCGTCCGACGCCGGAGGTTCTCGAGAGGAACTTGAGGCTGGCCGACCGGAAAAAGCTGCTGTATACTGTAGCGTGTGGGAGGGGGAGAGGGGGGAGAGAGCAGAGCGACCTCGGCCGGTCTCCGGCAGACCTGCAGCTCCGGTGGAGAGATTGGACGCGTTGGTGGGGATCGGTGAGGTCAAGAGGTCACGTCGGGTTAAACGAGGAAGGTGTCGGGGTGTGTGAAAGTCATCACCAACAACCAATCATCAGCGCAGATGTTTACCTGCTTGCTTTTACGATCCACAGTAAATAAGAACAATCCTTTAATAACAGCAACAAGTATATCAATAAGTCATAAATAAAAATCAGCAAATAACAATTCTAAATCTATTTGTTTTGTTGAACCTAAATCCAATGAACACTTGATGTTAATATATAACGACAAAGGTGTAATCGGTAGAGTGCAGATACCAGATCTCCATCCTGGTGACTGGGTACGAGCTACTTGGCCCCCATCTAGGTACCAACGGCCTGCACGGCCCCGTAAGCACATTTCCTTAAAACGTGTGAAGTAAGACAAAAGACACGAGCTTTTCAAAACAAAATTAAAACCACAAAGATTTCTTTAAAGCTTTTTTATACTAATTTAAATGGATGTGATGTGCTCCACGTGTCTGATGGGTGTACCTGCAGGTCTACTACCACTGGTCAGCAGGCCAACTATTCGTACTCAGGGAGACCCCCATGCCAACGTCCCCCCTAAACCATGAACTCTGAACCCTCAGGGACTCCACTGACGTCGCCTGTGAGTCTGTGAGGGCTTTAAATATGAATGGGACGGCACTTTGCTGCCACGTGTCCCGTCCCTTTGACATCAAGAAATAGGATTTATTATTAAGGTTTTTTTCATACATTTAAACTGATTCGAATGTCTTTCCTCGTAGGATGAGAAGTGATTTATTCATTGTTTTTTTTAATTGCTTCGATGCCTAAATTAAATATTTTAGATTTGGATACATTTTACATGTATCATTACATTTTAATATGTCTGAACCAATGCGCGCCGTCCTCCTTGTTTAGCTTATTTTACGTCTCCTTGCTTACGCTGCTTTTTACCATATTATTTCACCATAATACCATTGTGGGTAATTCCCTTCAGTCAGCATCTAATGCTGAGAGGCGAAAAGCTTCTTGAGATCTTTCTTGGTCACATATTCAACTGGTAAAGGGAGATTCTCTCTCACGCTAAACCATTGTAACTTATTTTATTTATTAGATCCCTTTTGGTTTGCAGTGGGCTGATCCTCTGATTCGTGGCTGGAGGAGTAGTCGGAAGCTGGAGGCGTCCTGGAGAGGTGGAACCCACACAACTAAGCAGCAGAAATTGCAATAATCCATGTTTTGGTCCCAAGAGAGCAAAAATCCCACAGACTGTATGAGTATGCAACCTCCTATATGGGTTCACCGGAGTCTCGTTGCTCAGATATTCACTCCCCTTTTAGTCTCCACCGTGTTCTGAGCTCTGCAGCTGCTAATGAGCCACTAAGTCACCATTTAGGCCCAAAGCTTGTTGAGCCTTTACTAATTAAGCCTGATCTTTAATTAAGAGTAGAATTATTTTAAACCATTGTTTTATTGGTACCTAAGGCTTAAGTAAAAGTGAGCTACTTTTAAATACATTTCAGGCAGTTTAATACCTTATTAAAGCGCTTCTTCTGATTCTGCCCTGGTTTCAATGTAGAAAGCGGGACGAATTGTGCTCCACCTTTTTATTATCCATCTATTAAAATTGCGCCGCAGTTTCTGGTTGAAGACATCCAACCACAGTCCAGATGCTGTATTTTCATTTGCTTCCATCTGTCCACTCTGGACTTTTCAAAAGTACAAAGTCACGTTCTGCTCATCTCAACCCGGTTGTGCAGATATTCGTATTTGCGTATTCCATCAACGTCAGCGTTATGGTGCAGTTCATCGGGAACGCGGACGACTAACGTATGCGCTTCTCTCCCCGTGAGGCACTTTGGAAAAGAGTGTCGTTAAAAAAAAAAAGACTAAAAAGACAGATGGATTCAGTTGGCCAGAAGAAAGCTGCTGTTGTTGGAGCTTCCTTTTCGGATCTCTGTGAGCAGGTGATGGAGCTCCTCTGACAGCGCCACCTGGGAGGAATAGAACGCCATAATTAGGACACGAACATAGTTAGCGAGCCTGTGTGGCTCTGCATTCACGTGTGTGGGTCTCCCACTGCGGACGCGTTTGTGTGTGTGCAGCTCACTCCGTAGGAGTCTGGCTCCTGCAGCCGCTTGTGTCGAGGGTGCAGAGTCTGCAGGGAAGTCTGGACCTTCACTCTGGTTTCTGCAGCGCTGCTCAGAGGGTGTGTGACCTGCAAAGAGTGGGAGACACATTCACGAAGACTAACGTCATACAAAGTACAGCATGATACTTACTTTCTTCTCTGGCAATAACTGCGCTTTATTGTTATATTTATATTCCCCATATTTTTGCTTTATCCTTGATGCTTTTTTCGCCTCTCTCGTAATACCTTTAAATGAAAATGACAGACACTAAAATTTGAATAAACTGCTTTTGCTCACATGATAAGCCAAATATAACAATCACATGATTGAAAACCAGCCGCTGGTCTCCTAATTCTGCTCACCCGCCCTTTGGTGAACACCTCCTGGCGCAGACAGGTGACCTGAGCAGGAATGACTGAGAGTCTGGAGTCATCACACATCAGAGGGTAACAGCTCAGAGAGACTCCTGCCTCTGGAGGAGACTCCACAGCGAGACACACCAGGTCCAGAAAAGGGTGGCCTGGAAAGGGAGGAAGGAGTGGGAAGGTAGACCAGGGAGGCTCACATGTTCATTGTGCATCAGGAAACCAAGCGATTCTCTTTCTACAGCGCGAAGGAAGCGATAGAGAGACTCTACACCGATACCAGGGGCCCGTCCATTGCGTCACCTAAATCAAACCATCGCATTCACCAAATGGGGAGTTTTTTTTCAGTCCATCCTAACTAGTTGGGCTCAGCTCCACGTTGTCAGAGACGGCTCAGCTTTCATGAGCGTGAACCTGGACTTCTGCTCCAATGCAAAACACCAGCATCATGTATGGGTGACATGAACACATTATCTTCTCACAATAAAGTATAGTGAAGAATTGGTGTCTGTTTTGGATGCTCCAGCAAACAGAGGTCTTTGAATCCTTAATGCAAGTATAATATAGAGATTGCCAATAAAGGCCCCGTCCACCCAGTAACCTTAAAGGGACGGCTGCCGTGATGCTCTATTGGGTCTGGCAGCTGTTGGCCGGCTGTAGCTCTTGGAATGGCACTAAAAGAAACAGCTATAACTAAAGTAAGATGGTAAAAACAGATTCAAAAGGTGTGTTGCGACGGAGCTGAAGAGAGCTGACGGTAGACGTGGATCCTCACCCTCAGCGTCCAGCAGCCTGTAGACGGCTTTCCTCCCGGGGACGGTGCTCTTCTCGGGGTCCTCGCTGATCTTCATCCTGGGTCTCCCCCTCACCTCCACCAGCTGATACACCAACCCAAAGCACGCCATGGGAAATGTTAAGACGGAGAAGGCGGTCTGAGGCATGTGAAGCGCCAGTGACGGGCGTTACCTTATACACGCAGCCCAGCGAGGGTTGCCGCGTGCAGGTGACCAGATGTGTTCCGACTCCAACCACATCGATCTCATTCTCCTGCAAGAACATCGCGCAGAGCATCAGGGAGAAGCGAAGGGAAACACACCTTCTTGGCTCGTCATAAACAATCCAGCTGTTCGGTCGGCATCTACCTTCTTGTTGAGCTCCACCATGCTCTGCTCCGTGATGTTGTTGGTCCCAACGATGATCAGCGAGTCAAAGGCGGAGACAGAGAAGCTGGAGAGCGACAACAGACGGATCAGACGCGGCGCGCGTCCTCACTGCAGGTTCTAAAGACGCACGTGCGCACACACACACGCACGCACGCATGCACGCACGCACGCACGGCGTGGCACCTGACTCACTGCTCGCTGCAGAGTCTGAAGACGCGGCGGACGTCAACCGACTGCCTGCAGAGGTCCCCGCTGTCCAGGCGAACTCCTACAGGCCTGTAGTCCAGCTCGCACAGAGCCAAGGCCACGGCGCAGAAGTTCAACAGGCCACTGCTGGAATCACACACACACACACACAAACACACACGCACACAGTCAAGGTTCATAGTTTGTGTCTCAGGTTCATCACATGAGACACAAACTACTAAAATGAATAAGTCACTCTGGTTTTGGGGGAATTAGCTTTGAGTGTTAAACGTCTTTAGGGTTAGCAAACTTTAACACTATCGGATTCCTTGGGTTGAACCTCGCTCAGTGTACACTAGTGACACCTGCTGGTAGGAGAAGCACATTGTGCTCGAACCATTGATGCTCAAACCACGTGAAAGGTAAAGTAAAACCCCTCTTTAGTGGACCTCTGATACGTGAGACCACCACTATTACACATTGCACCCTTTTATTTAGTAAGTATGAACTGTCAAATGAATGTAGCGCACTGCAAAAGTAAAATATTTTGCTTTGAATTGGTGAGCAGCTGAAATATGAATTAGCATGAAATGAATTTCTGAGGTAAGATACAGTACCTGGGGAATGTACTTATATGTCAGCATTGTGAAACAAAAACCGTGCTATATAATTTAAGTTAGCAAGTTAGGAAAATGTACTAATATTTGCCTTATTATCTATTTAATCGTGAGGAATTAGAAATTGCATGAAAACCGAAGTCCTGAAAAACAGGGATTCTACAGAAAGCGAGACGTTTGGCAACAATCAAACTTATAAAAGCCTCAATACGTTGTTTTTTTAGGATCAGAGTTAACTCCGTGAGTTACCGGCCAACACTGTAGCTGTCAATCACAGGCAGGAAGTTCTGAGGGTAGGCAATGGCGTAGGACAGAAAGGCCGCCAACTCGCCCTCGCTGATCTTCCCCGGCTCGCCTCCCAGCAGCTCACACACGCGCCTCAACCAGCCCTTCGTCAGCGAAATGACGTCCACCGGATCAGGGTCCCCATTCCGCGCCACAAGGGTCTGGTTGTAAGCGTGACGCAGGGACATCATTAACGACAGTTAACCCCCATCGACACCCTTCAGCTCACTGAGACGACTTCTCTGTGATGAGAGAACCTGGAACATGTGACACCTCCTCTGTGTTTGAATTAAAACATGATTTGTGCTTTTTTCCCCTGATGTTTGTTTCCATTGTGATGCCACAACTAAGTTCCACACTTCCAAACTAAATAACTGAAACAGAAAAGCTAAACAGGTTTGCGTTGACTTGTTATATCATGTCAAAGACTGAGTGAAATTATTTAAATAATCGAAATATGCCACGTTCTAAGTGTTCACGTGTGCACAAAACACTCTGAGCAGCACATTACATCTGCGATGCAGGAAGTCGACCCACAAATCAATCACATGGTCTGGATAATGATGTACGATAACTACAGTTGACGAGCTAAAAATGCACAAAAGTGCGGCCCTTTAAGCACGACCCGAGTCGACGCTACTCACTTGTGGCCGGACCTCCTCCAGGGAGGAAAAGGAGGTGACGTATGAGTGCGCCATGGTCCCCGCGACCGGGATCCCGTACAGGAAACCGGCCTGAACGTTACTGGTGAGATCGAACCCTGGAAGGCGGGACCTGGGTGTCAGTCATCACGCTGAAGATTCCGGCCCGAGGCGACACACGCCAGTAATGAACCGCTGTGCGGCGTTTAGGAAAAAACAGTCGCCGTTGCGTCTTCTTCACTGTGTTATCAAGTCATTGCGATCTACGCAGCTCTGCACATTCCTCACACAGGGAGGTTTTTCTGCTCAGCGCTGAAGGACCCACTTAAGTGGATCCATGTGTGTCTCCTCTCAGTGAGGATGCCCACATCTCGCCGTGCATTTTTGACCTGGACGGCAAGTTGTTGTCATCGTGCCACCTCGAAGAGGAGCGGCCCGTATGCTCCATACAAACAAAAGAGTGACAGGATCTATGAACACACACACACTCACACACACACACACACACACAATTCACCTCCAACGTGTGTGTACCGCGAGGCGGTGAGGCCTCCATCTGGGCCCTGGGCCCTGCGGAGGCCCATCTCCAGCAGCTTCCTCCTGGGGCCGGCCGCCAGGCGGAAACGGCCAGCGTTGCTGCACACCAGGCTGACAACCGAGACGAGGGGAGGAGCAGTATCAACATGTGCCGTTTCATTTGGTTATGTACAGTTAGCGCTTTAAGTGCTTTACATAGCCGCGCCTCGGGTTTCTTCATTTTCAGGTAAAACATTGTTTTAATTAACCTCTAAAACTCGCCTGAATGTGTAAATACTTTTTTCACATGCCACTTTATCAAAGCTGCAGAATAGGATACTCACACCCGGGGGAACTATTTCAACGCAAGAAATCATCTTTTCTACGGGTTCATTATAAATACAAATACTCCAGTTAATATAAATAGATTCCCTCATTCTTCCATTTTGCATATGTTGTATCTTAATCTCGGTCATTCCGGCCAAGCAAAGCAGAGTTCACTCATGCAGATTGCACACAATATAAATTACCTTCAGAGGACCACCTGGTTTTCCTGTATGTTTGTTACCTGGCATAGTTGACCAGACACAGCAAACTGGTCTCCAGCAGTTGGACCACAGCTAGCGGACCTGACACCTCCATCAGAGGCACCTGCGCATGTTTTAGAGATGTGAAACCGGTTATTCCCTCTGAACCCACCACCCCCCCCACATCACAACCCGACTTTTGACATTTGACCCCGAATAGCTGCGGCAGAGCTCACCCTGGCAAACACCACGGAGCCCTCCGGGACGGAGCGGAGGGTGACGCCGGAGCAGTCCAGGCCCCGCAGGAACTGGAAGAAGGCCGGGTCGGTGGCGGGGGGCAGGACGGAGCGCAGGAACTCCACATCTGGATGCACAAAACACGAGACGTAAGCACAGCAGCTGGAGAACAGGCGCGGGGCCGGCGCCAGAGGGGTTCCATCAGAACACCAACACTCACCCGGCTCACCGCACGCACATGTACAGTAATAGAGCTGAAAAGCTCTGTAAAGCTTAAGTTCAGCAGTAAAAACCAACAGAATTCAGAAATTAAATGAAATTTACTTGAGTATTTCTGTGTTATGCGCCTTTAAACTTCTACTTCACTACTTTTATTGGTTACCTTGCTGATTGAGAAATAAACATACAGTACATAAGACCCCCAGAAATGGTTGGACGATGCTTACATTGGTGTCATTGAGAACTGTAGTGAATCTGCATGGCAGGAAACTACGAAGGTCTGTGTTTGTGTCCAACATCAGACTCCTAAAGGTACCGATAATGTGAATTATTCACAACTAGTTGAACTTTAGCTTGTGGATGTCTAATACATCTCAAATTATCTCCATGAGGAACGTCATGATATGAATAGGGCTTATCTTATTGCACAGCACGTATGCCTCGATATTCTATTATTATCTTTGCTACTATCACAATATGATGCATTGCTGTAGATTTAACTGGCAATCCAAAGTACTTGGACTGCTGCTTTCATGGTAAACCCTCAGTATAACTAATCCCGTTATACAATAGAATTAGTCATCATTATACATAATGCGTTGCTTAATGTACATTTCGCTGATTACTGATCTACTTTACTGAATACAACCCGTTAACTCGCAGTGGAGAGAAGAATCTATGTTTTATAGATCTGTATGAACGCATCGCTCAATGTACACCATTCACGTGCCTTAAAGATTAAGTCTAAAGGTCGAAGTTCACCACTTCTCATTGAAACCACCCCAGGGGTTGCGCAACCACCGGCGGCGTGAGAGAGTCTGAGGAATCATCTAAAGACGCCCCGATGGAGGTGACGAGAGACGCGTTCGGCCATTACGTCATGCCGTTTGACCAGCTGAGACCCCCCCTCACCGGGGTCGCTCCCGGGGGGAGGGGGGCGGTGCAGCCTCACCTTCGTCCGTGAAGCGGAATGTTCGCAGGAACAGCAGACAGTCGTGCAGCCCCGCGAACAGCGAGAAGCCGCCGCCGAACGGGTTGTCCCGGAAGAAGAGCTCGAACACGGCGGGCTCCTGGTGCCGCCCGGTCCGCCAGTACGCGTACGCCATGGTGAACTGGTACAGGTCGGTGAGCAGCGGGGGGACCCGCTCCCGAACCGAGCGCTCCATGGCCGCGCGCGTGTCGCTGGACGCCGCCGCCATGTTGGTTTCTTCTTCACTGGTGAACTCTGGGACTTTGAGTTCCTCATGAGGGAGCGAAAGTAGCGCTGCGAGTCCGGTCCGCAGTTTTGTGGACTTTTACCTTTTGTAGTTGTACGTGTAGAGAATGTTAATTAGTAAATGCTAATATACCCAATAATGGACCCGCTAATGTTGTTGAATTGTGTCTACAAGAGTCCTATTTTATGAGATAATGCTGCATCTGCCAAGTGACAGCTCCAACAATCGAAAATGTGTATGGAGTTAAATAATAGTACAACAGATAAATACTTTAAGTATCAAAGTAGCGTTGAATCATTATTTGTATGCACAATGTAGAATTGTCAATAAAGAAATAATGTAATATCTTTGTGCTTTTTTGGTTTTCGTTTCAACATGTTTTTTTTTTACCAAAACATTCAATGAAAACTGTATATACAATGTGTAAAGTTGCACTCACCAGCAGGAGTATTTGTACTGTGTATTTTTTTAATGCCCGAGCTCGCATAAAGGTATTAACCTTCTGAATGTCCGGACATATCGGCATCTTCTAACTGATTATGATCCGGTACTAAGTCAATACACTGTGGACATTTTCAATAAGCCCTGACTGACCCTGACATCCTACCGGTCACTCCCTTCACTCTCCACATGCACATCACTTGTCACTTTCTGTTCCCAGGTGCACCTACTTTTAAAACTTTTAAACATTTTTTAAACTGTATTCCTTTATTTTTGAACTAACACATACTAACCCATAGCATATTTTATTATATTTTATTTGATTCCCCTTGCACTATGTCGTCTTATCTGTCTTGTTGTCCGTTGTCTGCTGCTACGCACCAATCGCCCAGTCAAATTCCCTGTATGTCTGACATATTTTGGAAATACATGTTTCGTGATTCCTGATACTACTGTTACTACAACCAATACCACTACATCTCTAATACTAATAACTAGTATTACAACAATTATTACTACTACTAGTACTACTACTACTGCGACGACGACTACTATTACTGATATTTACAGTACTAGAATTGCTATTACTACTAATAAAAATACTATTATACTATTACCGTAACTGTAACTTTCCCTGCATTGTAAAGTATAGTTTTCCCTTGATTTAATCTAGAGAGGTTTTCAGCTATTCAGGTAAATGCTTTCTGTCTCAGCATGTTTCTACCGGGTAATATGACGTTTGCGTTTGTCAACTTTCAACGCGACGCGTTCTCTGCAGGCAGCGTTGTGTAGTTGTAACCAATGGCCGCCAGGCGGCAGTAATCACACGCCGGCGACGTTACACTACTTGAAGTACTTCCGGCGTGTTGCTCCGGTGACAACATCGCGAGTGCAAAACCACGGGTCGGAAGCAGCGCAGTCCTCCTGTCAGCGTCCGAGTCCTCTGCCGGAGACACACAGCGTGTCCTCTGCCGGAGACACACAGCGTGTCCTCTGCCGGAGACATGTTGCTCCTCCGGACTGCTGCGCTCGGCCGCAGAGGTCTGGCCGCCCTGCGCTGCCCGCCCGCCGGCTGCGGGGCCTCCAGACTCGCCGCTACATACGTCCAGGGCCAGAGCCCGGAGCCGCGCGTCCGAGAGTACTTCTACTACATCGACCACCAAGGACAGGTGACGACAATGTGCAATAAATAAATAAATACAATACACAATAAATGCCCGCCTGTCGCGTGACGTGTCCGTGTGTGCTCCACTTACAGCTTTTCCTCGACGACACTAAGCTGAAGAACTTTGTCACCTGCTTCAAAGGTAACACGTGACAAAGAATCAGCTTTTAATCATAAGTCCAATGTATTATTAGATGTCATTTATGAATTTCCCCAAAACGACCTCCAGCTCACACTTAAATGTGTTACCAGCTTCTTGGCACGCGTTAAGAGAACAGAAGAATTCACACTTGGTTTCTCTGTACTGTCTTTGATTTCACACCTGACCTATTAACAGAAGAGCAAAACTGATTCTCTCTGTACGCTCAGCAACTCTCCCTCTTTCCTTTTATACCAGATAAAAAGTTCCTGGTCTTCTTCTTCAGCCGGCTGCGTCCCAATCAGAGCGGCCGGTACCAGGAGGACTTCCCCTTCCTGTCCCTGTGTGGCAGGGAGAGGAACTTTGTGCGCTGCGATGACCGTCCCGTGGTCTTCACCCACCTGCTGCAGAGCCCCGCGGGGTCGCCCGGGGTCACGGCGGCTGGGGAGCTGCTGTCGTACTGCGGCGGGGCGGAGAAGCTGTCGGCCCCGTTCCGCCCGGAGGCGCTGTACATGCATCCCGCCAGCGGGCGGCTCTACCACCCGTGCTCGGAGAGCGAGGGGCGGGTCGGCCTGGTCAGGTCGGCCCTGGCCATCGAGCTCAGCCCTTTCTTCGTTTACGCCGAGGAGCGCGGCCAATCGGAGCGGCCTACACACTTTCTCTGGGGGGGGCAGGAGCACACGCTGACCAATGAGCTCGCAGGATGCTTCCCCGCAACGGAGGAGAGCGGCGGGCAGCCGGGTGGGCCGGAATAACTACCACAACGCGTCCAACGTGTGCCTCTCAGATTTTGAAATACAAAGACTGTCCAGTATATGGTGACAGAGGGAAACGTCAACGCAAGATTACACAACGCAATCGGCAGAAGGGAAAACCCTTTTTTTGCGTCTCGTTTATCATCTCACGAATGACAATATTTATCATCGTGACCCCCCAGGATGGACCGAGATGAGAGACAGCAACAGGCTGCAAGCTGCTCCTCTGTTACGTTGATGTTTGCACTGACACGCATTCAACACAAGGTCAACACAAGTTTATTCATTGTCCTTTTGCTCACTACGTCCTGGAGAGCTCATTGGTGGGCCTGTGTCTCTGCAGGTGCACAAAGAGTAGGGAGCAGTTGACGTTCCTTTTATTTGCCCCGCAGCGGGGACATTTAAGGGAGCAAAAGGTAAAGTGCACACAGATGTAGTAACAAGAGCAAATAAATATTTGTATAATATAATATAAAGTATTTTTTGATCATTTGTGTTATCAAACACCAGACTACAGGAGCAACAGATTCTACAACATATATGTATAAAGACAGCTGCATTTACAGAGTCCCAGATGTTTAATCATTTTGACGGAAATTAACAAAAAAAATTAATATGTTGCTGTGACTGTGTGGATTTCAATCAAATAGTATTTCATGTAAATACGGTGGGAAAAATGTAGACTGGCTTTAATAAAGTGAGGTACACTGATTATTTTCTTTTGTAATGTTTAATCTTACAATCTTGATAAAAGTTTTACATGAAATACATTACATGTCATTTAGCCGACGCTTATATCCAGTCGGAGACTTACAATAAGTAGCTTCTGTGGATCCTGGAAGTCTTGAAAAAAGCCTTAAAGAGGAGCATTCAGATGGTGGAGGAGTCTCTGAATGTTTATAGAAATCACACACATCAGTAACCCACGGAAGCCCATTTCCGCCACATAAATAAATAAAAAGGGTTAGAAAGTCGAAATTATGATATAAATGTTGCTGATTCCTGATAAGAAAGTTGAAATTATGGTATTATTTAGATCTGGGCATCCACATAATCCTTTTGTTGTATGTGCGCTGCACATGTTGAGTGAATATCAATAATTAAGTGTATTCAAATCTGTTGGCTGATAAAAATAAGTAAATAAATGCATAAATAAGTAAGTACATAAATAAATAAATGACCACACTCATTACAACAGAAGGAGGCTTCTTCGGCCTCACAGATAGACCGAAAAATACATCCATCTGAAAAGCTCCCCGCTGTGACAGACAGATCCAAATATCTGAAGTAGCTTCTCTTCCGCCTTCCTCCTCCACCTGCTCCGCCCCCTGCAGGGTGGCGCTTTCCTCTACCCGGACACCGGAGATTGATTCGGATTAAATGGCGTCATAGTTGGACTTTGAAGTTGTTTCGTCGACACGTATTGACAGTAGGTGTATCTTTGATTGTTCACGGTGGAATTATCTACGTATTAATCAAATTAATTAAAGTATCAACGCACGTTATCATAAAGGAGGTGGAACCATGTTTTTTCTCTTTTATTTTAAACGGCCTTCGGCTCCAATGTTGCTTTTCGTGGCGGTCAGAACGCTTCCTTGTTTCCTAAACGTGTTTTTGGTTGTATTATATATTATTGTTATTACTAGAATAGCGTATATGTACTACTTTGTTTTCGTGTTCTTAAGGCGCGTTTCTATCCGTTCAAAGATCATTTCTGGTGTGGAAACCGATTCGGTGTCCATCGGCGTGATGAGCCAGCAGCCCCGTCCAAAGCGGGGACACCGGGAGAGAAACGGGGACCACCGACACGACCGGGACCCCCCCGGGAACAGGCGTCCCTCCCCCGACAGGTGTGCCACGTGCTTTACGTTAACAACATCCCCACCTGTCCTACGTTCATCAGTCAAAACTGTGGTTTATTAACATATTCTCCAAATAAGAACTTTATTCATGAAGGATAAAATTAAATATGACAATAAAGTATTACAATAATAGATGGGGAGTCACTCCGTAGTTTATATTGATGCACAGTGGATTGTTCACTTTAGTACCAGACAGGCTATTGTACAATGTGTGTACGTTGGCACAGTATTCTCAAACGTTATATATATATATATATAATGTTAGTTCACTGCGTCTTATTTGTCCTCATATAATGTTTGTCAGCCACCTTGAATGATCTCATTTGTTTTTGTGATTTGTGAGTAATTGCTTTCTTAACACATTTTTTAAAACCTAATAATATTGCAATGACATTTCAAATTTTAAAAGTGAAAAAAGAGTCTCTGGTTTTGATCATCTGGCTTTAGGCGTCGATTTTGTTTTGTCCTCCTGTCAAACCAAACCAGAGAAGTGATTCCTCGGTGTGCAAGATAACTCCCTCACGCAGGTGTTCTGTGTGCAGCAGGTCTTCCTCTCGGCCCCCCTACTACGCCAGCGAGGCAGACTCCCCCCCCGACCGTGCGCGCGAAGCCCCTCGAGTGGAGCACCGCGAGTCCAAATGCACACACATTTGCTCCCGGAGAGGTAGGTTCCCAGTGGAAGTATCTGCGCCGGGTGGGGAGGAGAAAGAAGGGAAGCTCGTCTACGAGCAGCCGCTCCCCCCCCCACGGGGCGGACTTTGGTTTCAGTCTCCGTGCGGCGCACATACTTCACTCCTTCCTTGAATACTGGACGGACCGGTTTTTCTGGGGTCAGGGTTCTTTTCTCCGAGTCAACACATTGGCTTTGATGAAGGAGAACGATCACAAGCTGTGAGTTTGTTAGATGAGTCACGTGCTTCTGACCATTCAAGCAAAATGGTTCCTCCAGGAATGTTCCTCCCCCTGCAGACGGAAGGCCGTACTTAACTTAATGTAATTGTTTTTAAGGGCTGAGAGATCCAGATGCCTTTAATTGCATTTGAATAAATAACTGTACTTTAGGTAGGTGGCCCCTTTTTTTGGTGTGATTTGTCCCAAATGTCATTACTTTACAACATATTGCAATTCATTAAAAAAGTAATCAATCAATGTGTCCTCATTGGGGTGAATGTACCTTGAGGACCTTCAAACTCTTACAATTGGTTCGCTGTATGTATACACAACTTAATACTAGTGTATTTTGTCTTTATTGTATATCTTCTGATAGAATTTAGTGTCGTAAATAGTCTTAACGCCCAACGGCACCCATGATCATATTTTGTGATCTCATTCCTCACACGTCTCCCTTTTCAGGCATCGTGCTGATCTGCGCCGTACTAACCAACGCCCTGGTGCTGATCTGCGTGGTCGCGGCCCAGATGGTGACGTCAGGACTGTCCGCCATGGGCGGTTTGGGCGGCTTCGACATCAACTCCAACTTTAACCTGCAGGGCACCGAGCTGCAGAAGGCGCGCGAGCTGGACAGCAAGTACAGCCAGATGAGGGCGCCGGGCATCTACGGCGGCATCGCCTTCAGCCTCACCGCCGGCGTCCTCTCGCTGCTGTTCGTGGTGGCCGGGAACAAGCCGCCCCACCGCATGTCCCGGAAGCTTCTGTACGCGGCGCTGGCGTTTCAGGCGGTGGGGGCGGCGGCGTACGTGGCGGCCGTGGGGCTTTACCTGCACTTCGTCATCACCGTCAACTCCTCAGATGTGTGCGTGGAGCGCGAGAGGATCTACGCCCGCGGCGGCTACACCTGGATGAGCTGCGACGTGGGCGGGGCCGACGCGGCCGTGGCTCTGTTCGGCCTCATCACGGCCATCCTCTACGCCGCCGGCGCCGCGCTCACCTTCCAGACCATCCGAGGGGTGAGGCGCTACCTGCAGGAGCGGAAACGCCGGGAGGCGGAGAAGCAGCGGGCCCGGGCCAACCCGCAGAGGGCGCCGCTGAGGGCCGACACCACGGCGGTGTGAGACGCCACGCGGCGGCGGCGGACACCCGGTCGCATGGGTGGGCCGCTGACGTGGCCCAGGGGTGGCTGGCATCATGGGACGCTGACCACAGGGAGGGATCGCCATGGAAACCCAGAGTACGGGCTGTTACGTTGCCCACCGACCGATCGCATCCCCGATTAAAGATTAAAGCGGAGCACCGGGGCCGCAGACAGCCGCGGGTTTCGGGGCTCTGCGGTGCTCCGTGATAACCGTGTCTGAGATAGAAGACTCTTTTTCTTCGCCCGTCATTTGTCAAGTTGAACTGAAAGAAAGTTTACCGTCTTCTGACTTTAATGAAGCTTCTATCTGCCTGTTGTTTCTTTCTTGCTTATTCCATCGCTGCCGCTGAGGACGACGTGACGTTGAGTCCTCAAGCGCTTTAGATTCTATCAGATGAATGGCTTTGAAAAAGAGCCCAGTAAATAAAGTCAATCTTTATCAGGACCAAATCTACCCTGACCTATGAGGACAACATCTTGGTACTTTGTTGCTGCGTATCACTGTGTCGTCCACTCGTGGCTCTGATGGAGTTGTGCGTCATCGGCTCTTCGTTGTGTGTGTGAATGTGCTTGTTGCTGAGCAGTTAATCACCAGCTGCTTCGGCTTCACTTACGTTGGATCATGGAAGATAATTCCAGGATTTATGTACATGGTTTTTAACGTGTGTAATTATTGTTTTTAATATCAAAGTCCGACTTTTAAGATGCCACCTTTTTTTTTTTTTTTAAATACTGATGCTGTACAAGAATGTAACGACTCAAATTAAACCTCCACCAAGGTGATTGTGTTCATCTTTGTTTGTGGTTCGCGTTGTGAAGAACCAAACGGCCCGCAGGGAGCACCAGAGCTGCTGTTCTGTCTCAGGCTCTGTTCCCTCCCGAGAACTTCCTGCCTGCCGTGACATCAGCTCTGCTGCCCCCCACCCCACCCCCCCGCCCCCCCGCTGTCACACAATGAGCCAAACATACACTGAAGGACGCGGCAGTGATGTAACTATTGGGGCTGTTCCGCCAAGACTTGATTACTAACAAAAGAAGCACTCCTCCGTGAGGAAGTTACCCAAGTTCTAATTTTACCTCTCGACAGCTTAGAGGAATGCAGGTAGCTGCTTGTCGTCGTGCCGTTTCTCACCGCGTATGTTTAGATCTTAAAACAAGTATGACTGCAGTGTCCGTACGCGGTGCTGTATCCTCTTAAGATGTCTGCTGCCAACCCAATGCATTAGTTTTATTATCAATGTATCCATATGTGAAATGATTAGTTCAGAGTCCAATCGTTTCCTTCTGTCGTACGAGATGTCGGTATGGGGGTTTTGAGTGGTACGTCGTGGCATATTTATACAGCAAACAATGAATTTGGATTCTAATTGGCAGATAAATAATTAATTTGATAAACCCTAATCTAGGGCTTAATTATCCAAAATATAACTTGTTTGGTATATAAAACGGTTGATCCTTTGTCACTACTCAAGCACACATTGGTAATTATTGTGAAACAAAACCCAAAGCATTTCACGGCTGGACACCAAAGACACGTTTGCATGTAAAATGTATTCAGTGTGTACGAAGGCTTTAAAAGCTGGCAAACCAAACACAAGGAAATGGATCTAAACATGCGAGCAACATCCACAAGAAGTCAGTCAACACAAAGCGGTTATCTGAAAACTTTAATTTATTATATCGTAAAAGTAGCTCTCTAGTGCGATTTGCCATTTTCCACATGTCTGTAACATTGTTCTGAGAACATTCATTAGGCTGCTGGTCACTGAAGGACAACCCCCTCCCCGCCCCCCCGTTTAGCATTTACTCTGCAGTCTGCCCCCAGGAACAGAAACCTGGCCTATCAGCCTTTGGAAATAATCATCTTTTCTCTCAGAGAACATTAGTACGCGCCAGTGACTAGGTCACTTTAAAGTATTAAACTCCTAGGAGCTAGTTTTTAACAGTCCTACTAACTTTGACAACTGTGAGGCGGCCTGTATCTCAACAGCACCAGTTAACATAGAATCAATCTCAAAAGTCAAATAAAAAGCATTCAAGGTGCTTCTTCAAATTAAAGATGGTAAAAAGGAATTCAATTTAATGTGTTATCAACACAAAGTGTTTAGTATCAAAAATTGCATTGTGTTTCAAGGGGCATAGAGTTAACAGTGAAAAAATAAAGTTAATAACAAAACACAGTTCTCCTGGTGCAGAACACTTTTTGGGAGGGAGCAGTACAACTTAATGAGCGCATCAGGAACCGCCCGTCCGGACTCCGCCGTAGTCAGCTGTCGTGGTTAAAGGGGCGTGACGAAATAGTCCGCTGGTTTCTGGAAGCTGTGAGCTGGCTGGTTGTGTGCTTGGATCTGCTGCTGCTGCTGGATGATCTGCCGGACTTCCTCCTCCAGCTCCGGCGGGATGATAAGCTGGTCGTCGGGGTCCGGCTGGGCCGGAGCGTTGAAGTAGCCCCCCTGCTTCCTGACGGGGGCGTCGGCCGCCTCCTCGATGATGTCCTGGCTCCTCCCCTGGCAGGCCACCGAGCCGTTGGCTCGAGCCCTGCGGCCCAGAGTCCCCGACTGAGCCTCCCCGCTGAGGCAGGGAGAGGAGGGAGGGACGGGGGAGGGAGACGGGGAGGAGAGAGGGGGCTCGCGGTGCGAGGCCGCGGCCGCGGGGGAGCACGTGCTCGGTTGAGCGTGCGTTTGGTGCGCTGCGCGGCCGAGGCGGCGCAGGCAGTGGACGTCGGCCTCCACCTCGACGCGGCTGCCGTTGGAGAAGACGCCGGCGATGGGCTCCTCGTCCTCGCTGTCGACCCCGTTGTCGGACAGCGCTCCGGAGAACTGTCTGCGGAAGCCGCTGCCGCCTCCGCAGGCCAGCCTCTGCGCGCCGCCACGCCCCGGGAGACTGGGGTGACCCGCCGGGGGGTCGGCGTGAGGCGCCGGCTCCTCCGAGGACGCCGTGGAGCCCACCTCGCTGCTCATCTCAGACGTGCTGAACTCGCTGCTCGCCTCGCTCGCCGTTCCCGAGGAGGAGGCCGGCGGCAGCGGCACGCCGCCGTCGCCGCTCGCAGAGTAGGCGTGCGCGCTGGTGTGTGAGGCCGGGCCCGGACTGGGAGGGGGCGGCGGCGGCTCGCAGAAACAGCAGCAGTCCTCGGTGATGCTGAGCTGGACGACGACGGCGCTGAGGCTGTCGGAGCAGCCGTAGCTCTGGGCCAGAGTCACCAGCTTCTTGGCGGCAGCCAGAGCGTCGGGTACGTTCCTGACCGCCTCCACCGCCTCGCCGGGGGACACCGTGTCCCACAAGCCCCGGCTGCCCAAGAGGAAGAACTCATCCTGCGGGGTGAGGGTCACCGTGGAGACGTGGGGTCTGGGTGTCACAGACGGGCACAGGAAGGAGTAACCCATTATTCGGGTGGAGTCCGTTATACCGCTGACTTTGTTATCCTGTAGAAGAGCGGCAGAGGAGACAAAAGTGGCTTATAAGTTCACCTACTTCAGTAACATTTAGTATTTTATGTTGTTGTAGCTAATAATGAAACTATTACTTTGGACTCACGGCATACTTCACTATTTTCTGTGAGTCTATAGACTTAACTATCAATCAATCATAACAAGAGAGACATTAGTGTAGTGTTCAGGAATAGTGAAAGTTAATAGTTAAATATACTCCCCACTATTTCATTTGTGTCGATTTGAAATCCTTTTAAACTAATTTAATAAAAACTTTAATAAAAATAAAAAATAAATAATAAAAAAGGAAAGTGCATTACAATTCCCCCAAAATCATTCAAATTATATTAAAATATTATGGGATATTTCATTTAAAATTATACGACACGTCACAATTGGGAGGCTGGAAAAAGGTTTAAAGCGTTGAATTTACTTAAAAGATTTCACCACTACTGAATTATTTGCGTCCCTACTGTCGCATCTGCAAACAACTCCTCATCAGAAACACCTAAAAACCAGTTGAGTTTGTGTTCACCTCGGTGACGATGGCGTTGTGCTGCCGGACCCTCTGGTACTCCGGCCCCTCCTTCACGCTGTGCGTGGTGGACAGTGGCACCGCTCTGCCGTCGCGGCACAGAACCGCCTGGCACCGGCCCACGTTGGCGGCCTTCAGGGTGAAGCAGCCGCCGTGCTCGCCGGGAGCCATCGGGTCGTGTCGGATGTGACACAAGGCCGCCGAACCCCCCATCCTCTGGCCCGCCGTGCCCAGCTTCCTGCAGGAGAGCGACACGCAGAGACTCAGCAAAGGGAGCGCGTCCGGGTTGTCGCACTTCTCAAGGAATCCAACTGATGCGTTTACCGCTGCATGGTGAGGAACGTGTTGGTCATGTAATCCCCCTGCCTCTGGCCCCCGTGAAGCTCCTCCGCCAGCACGTCCCCCATGGTGCATTGCAGCAGGTAAGGCACCTCGACGTTCTTGTCGCCGTCGAAAACGCCATACAGAGCCTCGCGGATGCCGCAGAAGCCGTCCAGAGCCAGAGCGGCCACACACAGCCTGAGAACAAAAAGAGCGCCGGGGTTTATGGGTAACAGTCCAAGAAACCGGGATGAACGCCTGCCTCCATCTCAACCCGCCTCCTCCAGGTTCCACCTGATTTACATGGCTGAATGGTCCAGAATCCAGCAGAGAGTTTTAATTGGGTTCTTATAGACACTCGGCAGTGAGAAGATGGATAGAAGCAGAAATAGGTGGGGTGGGGGGGGACTGACTTGTTTTTGACTCCAGAGGCCTCGGTGTAGCCGTGGCTCCACACCGACGGGGCCCCGTGGCTCTCACTCACACACAGAGCTGAAGGAGACGGATCCACCCTGAAACATTTGATGTTACTGCAAAGGAAAAAGAAAGAGAAAAAACATCATGAGTGAAATGGATAATAATGATCAATATTCCTGCCAATGCAGGATCTTTCAGGTCCATACTTGAGAAGCTCCAGGCTCTTGTGGTCCAGGGTGAGGCGAGGGTTGCCTTTGAGGTCCAGCTCCTGCAGCTTCTGAGGGAGGGTCTCCGGCAGAGTGACCTCGGTCAGCTCGTTGCAGCTCAGGTCGACAAACTGAGGAAGCACAGCGAGCGAGACCGAATCAGTTCACCTCGCTGCACTACTCCACATTTGCATCAGACATTTTTGTGCCTTTGAGCTCCAGACGACCATCACAGCTGAACGGATGAACGGAGGCGGAGCCCAAAAAAGCCTGCGTGCATCAGACTAACCTTGATCTCGGGCAGCTGCAGCACCTCTGGGAATGCGTTGATGCAGTTGGAGTGGGCGGAGAGCGTGTGCAGGCGCTGACAGCTGAGGATGGTGGTGGGCACGGCCCTCAGCCGGTTGCCGCTCAGGTCCAGCTCCTCGAGCTGCTCCAGTCGGGCCAGTTTACTGCAGGAGGAGGCGGAGCTATGCATCAGAGCACTGGCACTGCAAGCTTTATTTTTGGGAACCCAATTTATCAAACTCAACTCTCAACCTGAATCTGAAGCGTGCAGGTCTGCAGCCTCACTTAAATATAGCTGCTGCATATTGATTCACTTTTCCTTTGTGTGTTTTACCTGGCAGTGAACGTCTGCAGCTGGTTGTAGGCCAGGTGAAGCACCCGCAGGTGGCTGTGCCCAGTCAGCAGAGGGACACACTTGTCGGCCAAGCGGTTATTGGTCGCAAAGAGCTCCTCCAGGCTGCTAAAGCTGTCCTCTGACAGGCTGGCTGCAGGGAGGCTCTCCAGCTTATTGGCCGACACATTCAGGTACTTCAAGCTGTGATGAAATCCCAACAGAGAATACAATTTTGGTACTTGAATACATGACTT